CTCTCCTGCTTTAACCAGGACAGGTCTCATAGAGACACCCAGATTTGACTCTGCCTAGACCTCCTCCAGCTCCTCTGGGGAAACTGTAAGAAAATAACTTAGTGTTAATAGATATATGGCAATAATTTAAAAACAAGGCAGTTGAGTTGCCAGGACTTCTTCCTTCAAGTTGATTATTGTAAAAGGTGAAAGTTCAGCTAAATTTTGTATTTTTTTTTTTTGTAGAATGCAGGAAAACCAACTATTGAAGTTGGACTTCGAGTTAGAGACTTAGTGTTATTTTAATAATCAATTTTAGAAATACAAATTTCTGCAAAGGCTGCTACAAAAATCGGAATAACATTATATGTTTTGTAGAATGATAATGAGGCTTTTTGTCTCATTCCTAAGTTTAAAGTTGACCTGTAGTTAACTTACCAGTAATCAGGGCTTTGAACTGGAAGCGGCCTACTGGTTAGCGAGCAGAGCATTTGATTGTTGGAGGAACTGCATAAGCTGGTTGCTCAGCAGTCAGACTGTTTCTGTCTGTGGGTGTGATAAAAATGGAAATGAGAAAATTTCCCCGCTAAGAAAAAATAAGCTCTAAACAGAGAGTATGCTTCTAAAGTAATAAATTCCATATTTTCTATTTAATCATTAACTTTTCTAAACCACCAATACTTTCACATAATTTGGAAAAGTAACTGTATTTAAAGTTACAGCAGCATAAAATTCAAAGTTTGGTAAACTTACAAGTAAACCTTAAATGAACTTAAGTTAAATTTGTAAACTTAAAAATGTACTGTACTTTGTTTACGTAAAATTTTGAACTACGCTATCTAGAAATAAGTAGAATTTTTTTTTTAATTAAGTGTATTTACCCTTAATTTGAGTAGGTAAATAATATGATTTGCCAATAGAATGAGTATTATCACTCTTAAAATAAGATAATTAGTTAATATGAAATAATAAAATACAATTGTTTTTTTTCTTATTTTAAATGTAAAATGTCTTGTTTCATTGGCAATGTTTCTTCCCTCTTCAATTCAAGACAAAAAGCCTTATTATAGAAAAACAAATCTCTTATTTAGATTTTAAGTTTTCCCATTGCAATTTTTTTTTTTTTTTTTTTTTTTTTTTATAGTGTGAGGCGCTTCAAGGCCATCTGAGATACCTAATCCCTCCACCATGTCCTGGGCTTTTCTCCTTGCAATAGAAAATGGCCGAGGGCTCATAGGTATATCGTCCGGAAGGAAATCTTCAATTCCCCCCCACTGCTTTAAACTCAGCTGTGGACCGCCTCAGCACATGTTGTCGGTATTCACCAGAGCTCTTGTCCATCCTTGGACTTTGTAATGGGATCCTTGAGCCAATCAATTATCACTTTTACCTTTAGTCTAGTCCACTAATAAATAACTCCTGGATTGTTGGACAATATCGTTCTAGGAGGATTTTTTGATCTTGCTATTTAATGATGTCACCATTTTAGTGCATGCCTGTAAATGAGCTGACCCTAAAAATGACTTATCCTAAGTAACGAATGGTGTCATGCTGCTTTACTATCAGTATGATCCTGGACCAGACATGTTTAAAAAGCTGGTTTTGTTTCCAAACCTTCTTATTGGTCAGTGGCTCATCATAGAAACACATTTTATGCCATTCCTTTGCAGTCCACTCCTGGCTTTTCCTCCAGAATGGGAGTCTTTATCTGATCATTTGAAGCATAGCTACTTTTTTAAGGTTTTAAACACCAAACTCCTTTGCTTGAAACTCCTATAGAAGATGGATCTTATGCTGGAATTCTTTGGGATGGCCTTATATAGCTTTTTTTTTTCTTTCTTTTTTTTTTTTACTGTGAAATTATTTCCCTCCTAATCTAATCTTAAGTGCAACAAACATGTCAGCAACGGTTAGCAAGAAAAGGAAAGATTACAAACACCAATTCCCTTTAAAGCACCATTTCTTCTCTTCTAAGGGACATCTAAGGTAACATTAAGATCACTGGAATGATGCTAGCAGGTTATTGTGCGGAAGGTTTGGAAACAGTTTTCAATTTTTGCATGATTTGTGTCTATATTTAGTAATACTCGAACCATGGCTGCTAACCATCATGGTTTCCTTTATGCCTTATGATGGACCGAACCAAGGCCAAGCCTACATGTAACTGAGATTATGACTTTTTTAGCTGCATAGTTGAGAAACCCCAGTGGAGACACCAAAGGCCTGCGCTTTTACTGCAGTTAAATGTGGCTGCACAAAACCTTATCTCAAAAGGAAGAAATAGAAATGCATGCCACACTTTTGAGATTAAGAAAAACATGAGTGCAACCCTTCATGTCGGGGTTTACCATGTAATTCCTATAGCATGCATTCTAACTGTGTGATGAGATGATAATTTCAAAGGGATACAAATAATGTTTGTAATTATATAACAAGCAATGTAAAAAGAAAATAGATGTTAAATCTGATCATCAAATGCCATCTACATTTGGTAGCAAGGACTCGCCTGTTAGGAATAGAGGATGATCTGCCTGTTGGTTTTCAACACAGAGACCTTTTACACATTCTGCAGCATTATGCCCGGAAATGTATCTTGGCCTTCTGGATCACTGACAAAACTCCCACTCTCAATCAGTGAAAACAAACAATGACTGGTATTGTTCCATTTGAGGCTTTTTCTATGGCATTAAAGGATAAACCCTTTGTGTTCTATTGGTCCTGGGACCCATTTCTTAACTACTTACACAGTAAATGTTGCAGTGTTAAAGTCACACTCAAGAGTACATTTAGTCCCACTCTGAATTTGCAATGTGCTCTCAAAGTGTTACTTTAACACTGCAACATTTACTGTGTAGCTGTTGTCTAGGTCAGGGGTCTTCAACGTTTTCCAGGCTAAGGACCCCAAAACTGATGGAGAGATGGAGCGGGGACCCCCTAATTTTATATATTTTATGAAATTGTGTTATATTAAACTGGTCCTATAGTCACTCTATTACATATGCAGTAATGTAACTAAGGTTATTTCTCCCTGGGATTATGAAAGTATTTCTGATTCTGATTCCTTGTTGATGGGACAGGTGTTGTGAATGAAACGGTGCCCAGCTTGAAAGAGCTCCTTTGTGTCGCAGAATGTGTGCATTGATGACTGAAAGACATCTTCTGCCTCCATTTATCTGTTTACTACTGTGTGTTGAATTCATGTTAATGTGGATTTGAAGATATTTCAATTAGTGGAAAAAATTGCAGGGGGAATATAAAAAAAAAAAAAAAGGTTTAGGTTACAGCTATCCTATACTTGTTTCACCTCTTTTCTCTGGTTCATTTGTCATTTATGTTGAAGACTATCTAAAAATATAAGTCATGTTTTTAGATATTTTATGCGTCAAATCTTAATATTCTTTCTCTGACTTTTTGAAGAATTAAAATAATCTAGAGTCTATGTTTCTGTTCTTACTAATAAACTTATTTTAACAACAATAACAAAACATTTTTTATATAATCTTATAATTTCAACTCTTTTGTCAGATATTTGACTTATTTTTACTCAGAAACGCAGATCTGCATTGATGACTGAAAGACATCTTCTGCCTTCATTTATCTGTTTACTACAATGTGTTGAATTCATGTTAATGTGGATTTAAAGACATCTCAATTAGTGGAAAATATTGCGGGGGGGAATATAAGTCCATCCATTCATCTATCCATCCATCTTCCTCCACTTATCCGGGGTCGGGTCGCGAGGGCAGCAGCCTAAGAAGGGAGACCCAGACCTCCCTCTCCCCTGCCACTTCTTCTAGCCCCTCAGGAGGAACCCCAAGGCGTTCCAAGGCCAGCCGAGAAACATAGTCTCTCAGGGTTCCTCCTGAGGGGCTAGAAGAAGTGGCTGGGGAGAGGGAAGTCTGGGAATATAAGTCTAATTAACCAAAACTTTGCGACCCCCATGCAGTACCTCTGCGGACCCCCTAGGGGTCACGGACCCCCTGTTGAAGACCTCTGAGCTAAACCATAAGTGATATTGAAAAAAATTCCTTCCATGTGAGTGCTACAAGGGTCTGAAGATGTAGTATACATAATTTTATGTTTGTACGTCAAATGGTTGACATGGGTCGTTTTGGATATTCATCTGTGATTTTTGGAAAGTCTCTCATTGGATTTCTATTGGGGGAGCGTGACTTATTCGCGGTCTGGGCCAAACTGTAGAAAAAATGTAAATCGACATCTAGCAGGATGAGGTCAGGGCTTATGGACCTGTCCTGGGAAAAAGATGCAGAGTTACACTCTGGTAAGCTATCAAGCTTGGGTATGTATTTTCTTTTCCTTGTTGCCACTGATTACTTGATTGTTTTTTTGTTGATGTTTGTTTTATTTTATTTATTCTTCTTTGTTTTGTGATTGTTGTTTATTATGCCAGGTTTGAATGTCTGTGTTTTTGTGCATTTTCAGGGCTTTGCTTTCTGTTGTCCCTGTTGTTTCTGCTTTGCAAAAAAAAAAACTTTAATAAAATGAGTTTTAAAAGAAAAGGAAAACAGACTTTTTTTTTACTGTTTAATTTAAGTAAAACCCAAGAAAGGCTAGATTTATGTAACACATAACAATTAGAAAACAAAAGTTACCATTTAACCAAAGTTCAAGGTGTCATTAAATCATTTTTTAAGCATCCATAAGCATATTTCCTTTGTATTTATACATAAACAAACTACAGTACAGACTTCCTGTAGTATACCTGTAGAAATGCAGTGGAGCTGTGTGTTTAAACAAACCTAGGCGTCAAACTGCCTGAATCTGAGACCCCTAGAGAGAGAGAGAGTGTTTGAGGAGCCAATGCCATAGTGACACCAACACATAAAGACAAGCAGCATTATCACTAATGAAATTCAAGCTTGCAGTCCTTTTTCTGAGCAAACAAAAGGCAGCAGTTGACAACAAAAGCCTTTGGCTGCTCATGTTAATATTCCTGTCTATGACAGCTTGTTACCTCAGCTTAGACACTGGAAGAAGGAATTGAACACGTTAAACAAAACTGCTGAAAACATGTATTTTTATTTTTGTTATCAATACAAAGGTTTATGGTAAAAACATAGTGCTTAATTAACCTTTCAATGCAGCAACATTAGAGACACCGCCCATAAGAAAATACCTGATTATAGTGATGATGATAAAGAACACTCAGAATAATTTTTTCTTCATCTTTATTAATAACTAATGAATTTATATTTATAATCATTCTAGTTTAAGTATAATTATAAAAAAAACGATCAATGCTCTATCTTCAGGGAGTGTTTGTGAGTAAGGTGACTCTTTGTTGAGGCATCAGACAGTGATGATCGCCTTGCCGATGTTTTCTCCCTGCAGCATCCCCATGAAAGCAGTTGGCATGTTTTCAAAGCCTTTGGTGACGTGCTCCCGACACTTCAGTTTCCCCTTTAAAGGCACAATGCACACATTAAACTCAGGCGGAAGGACATAATATTTGATCAGTGATAACCTGCACAACAAAAGGTTAAATACCTCTTTATACCACCCCATTAGTTTCTTGAGGCCTTGGGGATGGTCATTCTGCCATCTGCTCTGCATGAAGCCTTCTATCTTAACCTGCTTCCAGTTTATGGTGGTTAGAGGGTATGGACCTGGGGAAGATATATACAACATTATAAATCTGAAACAACCTCTTCTTAAAAGCTATTCTGCTTTTTTTGAATTTCAGCAGGACAAGTCTGCCCTCTAGTGTTCGAACACATGTACACATTTATAAGAGAATACATAGTGCAATACTGCTTTAACTTTGTCACATTTAATTGAATAGAAGAAAACTTTCACAAGTTTTGTTGGACACAAATCTAGTATCAAATTTTGAGGTACATGGAAATAGTTATGGTTTAAAAATATATAAGAACAAAAATAAACTTAAATTGCATCACTACTGTATCTGTACAGGTCTTTCCAGGGATAAATTATCCTAAAACTAATTTCGAATGATATTTTTCAGCTGATTTCATCAAGCTCAGTGAGACCTGATGGGGAATAACTGAAACACTTACCTTCTGCCCTTTAATTATAGCCAAATGTGGACAGTTAATATATAAACAGTTAATAGACACAGAAAATGCCCTGATATTCAACATCTTTGTTGAGGTGAATTTAGAATGAAACCTTGGAAAAATAAAAGCTGCATTTCTTAACAATTTTTTATTTTGTTTTGGTCAATGCTGTGTATTTTGCTGCACTTATTTACCAGACCGCTCTGACCAGCTTCCCTGCTTTTTGCTGAAGAAAAGTATTTCTTCAGCATGATCCTGCCACCACCATGCTTCACTGATGGGGTGGTGAGTTTACTGTGATGTGCAGTACTACTTCTCCCCCACACCTAGCATGTTGCATACAAGTTTTACAGGTATTGTGGGATGGATAGGTTTATCAGCACCTCATGGCAGTGTTCTATGAAAAAAGAAAAGAGTGTGGAAGAACAGACCTGTCTGGTATTCAGCATCATGATAGGTGGAGATGCCTCCGCACACAGCAACTCTACCAAACTCCTTCATCTGCTGTAGCGCAATAGTTGAAAATTGACCTCCGACCTAAAAAGACAAAATACATATATATATATATATATATATATATATATATATATATATATATATATATATATATATATATAACAAACAGGAGGAGTATGTAATGTAAGGACAAGCTTACATTTTCAAAGAAGCAGTCATATCCTTCAGGAGCCGCCTTCTTCAGAGCCTCCTCCAGGGAGGGAACTGTTTTGTAGTTGAAAGCTTCATCAAATCCCAGCTCCTTCAGGTAAGCTACCTTTGCGTCCGTCCCGGCTGAACCCACCACCTTACAGCCCTTGATCTTTGCAATCTGTCCCACCACGGTTCCCACAGCCCCGGCCGCAGCGTTCACCAGCAGGGTCTCACCTTTTTGCGCTTGCAAAACCGCTTCCACCCCGTACAGAGCTGTCAGTCTGCAAACAGGGAGGAAAGGAAAACATTTAGTCAAATTTGGACTAATTTCATAATTATGGAAGCTCTGTCTTAAACAACCTACGTAAATTAAAATTGAGATATATTGCTATTTTTTTTAAGCAGAATTACCTGTTACACAACATATCTGTTTTACAGTCTCTGTTACGACGCTGCTTTCAACAACTTAAGGTTATGAGCTTGATCTTGTACTCCTTGATCAAGCCCCCAAACTTAATAATTAGGTGCATTTAATATTCATTTGAGAAACCATTTCATATCTTATCAGAGCTAAACCCTTTGCTAAATTTAAGTATCAAACATGCAAAAATAAAACAGATCTGAACTTTTGCTCAAATGGTATCATTAAACAGTAAACAAAGAATTACCACCGTTTTGAGAACAGGCATTACTCAACCAACAGTAGGTGCTTTGATTTTTAGGTAGAAAAATATGATTTAGGTCAAGGACACATTTTTTGTGTCCTTTTTTGACACATAAAAATGGGTAGTCTTGTTATATCTTGATTTTCTTTTGGAGTAAATCTTTCGAAATCTATCAAACTGTCTTATTTACCTCTTTGTTTAAATGGTTTATTAAATTAATGCTGTCCAGAAAAGTATAATCCTGGCTACCAGAGACGAAAGCAGGGAATCTAAAACTTGTATTACCCTGGCATGCCGATGGCACCCACAGCCAGCGACATTGGCACATTTTTGGGCCAGTCAGCCATGAGGAGAGTCAGGTCCTTCCCATCACTGACAGCGTGACTTCTCCAACCACAACCACTCACAACGTGACTTCCAACAGGAAATGCTGAGTTTTTACTTTGGACCACCCTATGAAAAAAAACAAGCAATCATACTTTAACAGAAGCCATTTTTCTAGGAAGCTTCCATCTATTGTAACATAACTCAATGCACATTTTAAATATGACAATTTGACAGACTCTAAAATACTTGTTATCCAATCAATTGTACAAAGTTAATAAGCAGTAACCAGATCAATTAAAATCAACAATGTAATGTATTTTAGAAGTTTTTTGGTGTTAATCAATGTTGATCATAACTTAATACATAAATACTTTATCACGGCATCCTTGTGGTCACACTTGGCTTTTTCACAGGGAGGAACACACGTTTTAATATCACTGCTGTAACAAAGGAACCATAACAAACTGAGAAGTGAGGGATTTCCTTTGAGTCAATGACTCAATGCAATCAGTTGGTTTTCCTTAGATAGAAAAATTTGAATCAGTTTGACTGTATGATCTGGTCGAATTGCTCTCATACAGTTGTGATGACATGTGTTGTGAAATGGTGCTTTATAAATGAACTAAAATGAAATGAGCATTTCCAAAGTGGAAGAGAGCAACTACTAAGTGCTGATCTAATCAACGCCGGTATAAAAGGTCAATATTGTCTTATGACAGATGGATCAGATTGTCAGATATGCTCTTCAGAGTGAGTAGTTATTGTTTAACAGATTTAAGGCCGGGTAGAGATAAACTAAAAGGCAAATTATAAATACAACACTGTCAGACAGAGGTGTGGCCATCTTTTTAAATCTATTCATTGAAAGCTGAGAATATGTTATCCAGATCACTAGCACTTTTAAATCTAACTAGCAAACTTTGTATATATATGTATATATGTGAGTGTGTGTGTTTGTGTATAAAGTAAATTTAGATACTAAATGAAATGTCATAGAAATGTCTTCTTGAAATAAAAAATAATAATATTTTTGTTTAGGTCATTTTTGTTTAGGATGGATGAATACATCTCTATCTATTGGACTAACCCTGCAGCAAGGTTGTTTCCTTTCTATGAGGCAATCTTCTATTGCATAAATCTAGCTACTACACTAAACGGCTTGTAAACAAATGCTTCCACTAAGACTGGCTCCTTCTCAATCTGCTGATAAAACTTTCACTACGAGTGGAAAGTTTCAAACAGCCATTAAAGACGGGAATTACTGATAAAAATATTTTTAAGACAGAAATATTAATTTGCTAAACAGCAAATCACTTATTGTATGATAATAGTGGTCGTTTCCTGAGGTTAATAAAATATGTGTATACTAGATTGGAGGCTATATATGTTTTTTATTTTTTAATGGGAATCATGTATGAAATGTCCACTTCATCACGTGGTATAAATTTAAGATTCTTTTTTCTGTTTCTTATAAATGTTTCCTTACTTTGCCACTTGAGTACCGATCATTACATCCCCTTCCTTCATGTATAGTTTGCTGAAAGGCCTGATAAAAAAAATACAAATAATGCATGATCAGTAAAGGATTCAGAGATGATTTGGTAAAGACTGACCATGTTTTTCAAATTTGCATCCATGCTTTACACCTACCTCATGTATGGATCCACACTGAGGAAAACTGCTTCCAGAAGCACCTCTGTAAGAGAACCAATGTGGATCACACTTTTAAAACAATGCATACAGTTAGAAACAAACAGATGTGGCCTTTATGCAACCAAGACCAGAGAGAATGAGGGATCTATCCTTGCCTCCATCTTTAGGCTCTGGCAGCTCCTCCACCTTGAGCTTGAAGTCGCTGTCTTTTGGGAAGCCATCAAAGTGTTTGGCCAGAATCCATGACTTAGACTGAACCATGGTGACTGCTAGAGAGAAAGAGCCGCCAGATGATGAATAAAACAGGCAGGATCATCAATGCAGACATTTATGTCACCTGGTTAAAAATTAACAAGTCAATAAATCATTTGCAAACAACAGAAGAAAAACTGAGTAAAATGTATTTTTTAAAAATCATATAAAACATATTCTTTTATTTTACATTTTCTGAGTCAAAGCATTGATTTTGAATCACCTTTTGTAGGTCTATCTTAATGCAATAGCTTAAGTAAAAAAAAAAATACACGAGTAACAGGCTTCAAATATGTAGTTTTGTGTTTAAACGACTTACCAGAAGTATCAGTAGTAAAGAAGCTAAGCAGAGATTGACTGCTGTCACATCAGGAGTTGTATTTATTTATTTGGAGCAGTGGGCGGGACCTGCAAGCGTTCATTTTTTTCTCCTCAATTATGATTGGTTGAATAAGTTGGTCCGCCGCTTACGTGTGACGTAGGACGTTCCCAACGCATTTTGGAAAGTTGGCGCGGGGCGAAGCTAATCGGTCAAACCTTTTCCCGGATGAATTTAATTGGTTTTGAATCGAGCTGTAAGTATTGAGTTCCGCCATAAAACTTAAAAAAAGATTCAACTCCTCAATAATTTTTTAAGCTAGCAGTCAGACCGCTAACACTATACCGTAACCGTTATTCGTAGCTAGCAAGCTAGTTACGAATTTTCAGCAGAATATTTTCCTATAAAAGGTTTCATTTCAATTTTTATGTTGCTAGTTTATAATTTGAATTGTAGGATAAGATATGTACGTCTTGACACCTCTGCTAACGTCATGTGTACAGCAGGACTGGAGCGTTTTTGCGTTAAATGGACGATGATTCAGTATTCCTTCATTAAAAACATGTAGACCCATCGCTTTGATACAGATATGAGAACAAACAACGACATGTTAACTAGGCACCCATCTTCGTTAGTACGTTTCTTTGGCTTACATTAAAGTATTTGTTTAACAACTAAGTAGTGGCTTTATGACATGTTTTTCTCATAAAAGGGAGGGGGAGTGAAGGGGATTGTTAGCCAAGTGGTTAGATCCTGTTTTGATCCCCACATCCTCTACTATGGGTCCCTGAGCAAGACCCTTAACTCGACACTGCTCCCTGGACGCCCCACAGTGGCAGCCCACTGCTCACCAAGGAGATGGGTTAAATGCAGAGGTACATTTCTCCAGTATGACATCAATAAATTTCAATTATTATTGGATCAAATTGGCTTTTTTGACAAGAAAAAACATATAAATTTCGAATGACCCAATGTAATTTCTATTTATTAATATTTAATTTATTATAAACTGTGTTTATATTTTTTTGGTGGCTTGATTAAGCTCTAGTAGCCATTATTCTGCAGTGGAAAGAGTCTAAACATTTAGCATGCCATCTACTAATGATACATTAATCTGATATGAATAAATCAGAATAGGTCTGACTGGGATTGGCCAAAGTTTACACTAAAAGCTCAAAATAACCATTGATTAGTAACATCTGCATGGATATAGCAAGTACTTAATCTGAATTCACAATATCACATGTTTCTGACTATTTTTGTCATTATTCTTGTTATGCATTGTGCTGCTGGATGACCGAGCAGCACAGTGTAAGGTTAAACATGTTAGATGGTGCCCAGTTCGTGGAGGCTCTATGCCGTCTGGGTTATCCTGGCGCAGCTTCGCTTAAGGCTTCGGAGTTCGATTGGCTGTTTGACTGCGCCCCGGAGAACCTTCATTTCTTGCGCTTTGTCTGCCGCACCCTCAACCAAAGCAACGTTCTTACCACAGAGGAGGCCGCTGCTTTTCAGGAACTGCAGAAGTCCGGCAAGCCAATTCTGGATGAAACGTCCCTGGCGGAGGTTCTCAAAACTGTAGGGCCTTCGGATGGCAGCAGTTCTAATCTCTTCGGTCAACTTTCCTCATCCTTTGTGTTTGCGACAGAAGGGGATTTGACCATAACAGAGCTGGAGGAAGAACTCCAAGCGCTGCGTAAGGAGAAAGAGTTAAAGCAGCGGCGCTATAACAAACTGCAGGTAGCAGCCACGTCCCATGCAGATGTTGACCTGCAGCTCGGCACTGAGCTGGAGCGTTCTGCCTGCAGGCTTAAAGAAGCCATTGCATTGGTTGGAGGAGAGAATGCCGATACCAACTCTGTGTTACAAAGCCTAATGGATGAGGTCAGCAGGCTTGGATCTTACCTTCCTCAGTCAGAAGCTCAACAAAAACCAGATCAGTCAAAGCCATTTGTTTCCCAAAAACCCACAGTCCTGCTCTCTCAGCTGTCTTTGGATCCATACCTGCATCAAGAGGAGCTCAACACAAAAACACTTGCTGCCCTCACTCAGAAGCATTTCTTTCATGGCATTTCTGACATCACCATCGAGACCTCTTGCTCTGAGCGCCTCCAAGTCCTCGACCTCAGCTCCTATCAGGATGAAGAGGACACGGGTAGTGACTGTAAAGATGGAACGGTTGAGCACAGGAGGGCGGAAATGGCCCGACTTCAATGGTCGCACATCGTGGCTCAGCACCAACTGATGCAGGCTACGGCAGAAGAGAAGGCAGTCAAGGCCGGATTAGACTGGCTCTCAGAAAAGGCCCGGCAGACTAAGGTAGAACAAGTAAATCCATATGCTGTGACCAAATCCATACTTAAGCTTTGTTTATCTTGACCACCCCACTAAAACAAACTCTTGTATCTGTTATGTCGCCCGGATAGAGCATTTCCACCTCATCTTCACTGCCTGTACGCAAAGCTGTCACTAGGAAGGAGCTGCAAGCTGTCGAGGCTGAGCTGGAAGCTCTGCTTCATGGACCAGTACCTTCTGCTCTCAGAGAGTCGGCCAGGCTGCTTAATGTTCCTGTAGTCCGGGGAGACCTAGCCCTGCAGCTCACCAGACAAAACTACTACACCTCAAGGCAGGACCAGGTGAGTGGCTTTATAAATGTTCAACCCAAGGCCATTAGTGCAATAAATATACTGCTCTTATGTCAGTCTCTATAATTATAAAGAAACTGTAATTTCATATAATATAGTCAGAAGAACCGGAAAGGAGGAAGCTATTCCCACAGGAGGAATCATACACATTATTGACAATACATCAAGGATGTTTATCTTATTGTGTTTTAGCAGTGCATGCAGGTGGTTAAGAATTTTACCAGAAGAAGCGCTCTGAAGGGGAGCTTGTCTTTGTCCACCAAGTCATATTTTCCATCGCCATTTGTTGGATTGAAAAATATCGGTTGGAAATTTTTTACATATCGCTCAACCTGTGTTTTTTTTTTTTTTTTTGAGTAACTAGTGGCTCGTTTTTTCGACAGTATGCTGACAGGAAAGGGGGTATAAGGGAGGGGGGAGACATGCGGCAAAGGACCACAGGTTGGATTCGAACCCGGGTCGGCCGCGTCAAGGACTAAGGCCTCCGTACATGGATGGTGCTCACTAACCACTGCGCCACCTGCACTCCCATATCGCCCAACCTTAATTTATACTATCCTTTCTGCTTTGTGCCAAAATTATTTTCTGTTGGGTTTGAACAGGGCTTCATGGGATGCTGTGGAGAGATGACGCTTGTGCAATTTTTATGTTTTCAACTTATCATGGTGCTGCTTGTTAAAAACACCATAAAATGTTAGAATTGCACAAAGATGGGCTCTGATAACTATTTTTCTTTATGGAAGAAGCTAATTTAACTTTTTTATTTAGGGGTATAAGCATAAAGGGGACTGTGTTATGAATATATTTACAACTCTATAAATTCCTGTCGTAGCTCTCTTGAATAAAAAAACAACCTTTATTTTGTAGAAATGATACATTGGTTCTTTAATAAGTGTGACACTGGAAATGTACATTTAATAATCCTGCACCAATCTCAACACGTAGGTACGGGATTACTTACTTCGGCAGAAAGCGTCCTTCGACTTGCTCCTCCTGGCTCATGAGATGGAACTGAGAAGGTGGAAGTCCTGTCAGAGTCACCTGGTGGAAGTCGATAGGCGGCTTTCTGAGGAAAACAGAGCAGCATCACTGAGGATAGAGTCTCTGGGTCATCCAGACCTGGCTGTCAACCCGAGGCCTAACCCCATCATCAGCTCCAAGGATGCAGCGTTCAGCAGGTGAGAAGAGGGTTGTTAAAAGTCTGCAAATAATGCTGCTGAACTTGCCATGTTTACTGGTGTTTCAGTGTTTTTTTTTTTTTTTTTTTTTTTTTATGGGGCCAAAATGGTAGCTTTAAAATTTGCAAATGTGTGTGGAGAGTTGTGTGTCTGTATCTCGATTTGTGTGTGTGCAGTGGGATTTGAAAATGTGTAAATAAATCTGTAAATGTGTGAGGAGATTTGTGTGACTGTACAACAATCTGTAAATGTGTAAAACTACTTGTGTGTAATCCGTTTTGCAAATGTGTAAAAAATCCACAAATCTGTATTCAGATCTGCAAATGTGTACTGAGATTTGCAAATGTGTAAAAAATCCACAAATCTGTATTCAGATCTGCAAATGTGTACTGAGACTTGCAAATGTGTAGATCAATCTATAAGCACACACAGAGACACTTGTGTCTGAAGTATTTTCGCTTCAAGACCCAGAAATACAGACAAATCATTGGTTACAAGTCAAGCGGTTTTTCAGTTGGCTCTCTTTACACACGTGATTTTTGCTACTCTTCTGCCGCGTGAGATGCACGAATGCATAGAAGGATTTGTATGTGTATTTTCGCGATTTGTAACCCCTTGCGCAAGCTCGCAGGCTCACATGCTGCCCTGACCGCAGGCTTGCAGGCTCACAGACAGCCTCTCTCTGCTGCGACATTTCAGCACAACTTGCTTCACATACAGCCACATACCACCAGTTGGCGGTATTGTACAGTACGTGACGTTACTGGGGTCCTAGGGGTTGTACCTGCTAAGTTGAGAGCAATGGAATCCCGTCAGCTTTCTGTAAGTATATTTCTTTAATTTTTTCTATAGTTTGCATTAGTAAAACTGTTTCTTCTTCTTCTGCTTCTGTTTTATGGCGGTTGGCAAGCAACTTTATGATGTGCATTACCACCATCTACTTCAGTAGAGTGTGGATCGGGATGCTATGTATTTTCCCACTGAAAAATAAAAATAAATATTAACAATATTTACATAAATAAACTTATATCCTTTCTACCAATTTCGTTTTTTCAAGATTGTTTATCAAATTACAAAAATAATCATAAGTAGATTTTTTCCCCCAAAATATCTTGTATATTTAACTGTCATTTATTTTCTTGTAACCCTTCTCTCCATAGAATATTTATAACAAAACAACAAAACATGCTCCACCGTCTCCCCTTGATAACAAAAACCACAACCTCCTGTTCCCATTCTAAATAAGTTTCCATTTAACCCCGTGTTTCCGAAACTTAATCTAGATATAACCTCTTTTTTATTCCTTTCCGTTCTCCTCATTTCACCAATTTTCCTTTGAATACTATAAAGCCAACTTCCAGTTCTATGCTCTTCCCACAGCTTCTGCCATCTTTCCGTAACCTTTTGTTTAATATTAGATTAAATTTTTTCCTTACTGAATGGTATCAATATATCATCCTTGTCACGTCAACTCCCGCAGCGGAGGAAAAAAAAAAGGTAGAGGCTGTCTGTGAGCCTGTGAGCCTGCGGTCAGGGCAGCATGTGAGCCTGCGAGCCTGCGCAAGGGGTTACAAATCGCGAAAATACACATACAAATCCTTCTACGCATTTGTGCATCTCACGCGGCAGAAGAGTAGCAAAAATCACGTGTGTAAAGAGAGCCAACTGAAAAACCGCTTGACTTGTAACCAATGATTTGTCTGTATTTCTGGGTCTTGAAGCGAAAATACTTCAGACACAAGTGTCTCTGTGTGTGCTTATAGATTGATCTACACATTTGCAAATCTCAGTACACATTTTCAGATCTGAATACAGATTTGTGGATTTTTTACACATTTGCAAAACGGATTACACACAAGTAGTTTTACACATTTGCAGATTGTTGTACAGACACACAAATCTCCTCACACATTTACAGATTTATTTACACATTTTCAAATCCCACTGCACACACACAAATCGAGATACAGACACACAACTCTCCACACACATTTGCAAATATTAAAGCTACCATTTTGCCCCATATTTTTTTTTTTTTTTAATCAAAGTTAAATCCGACTTAGGGCAGACAATTGATGTAATTAATCTAATGTTGGGTGGATGTTAATCTTCAATGTCAAGGAACATGTTTTTTACTTGTTTTTTTTTTTTTTTTTTGCACTCACTGGCTAAATTGGACGGACCTTAAACAACATGGCTGTGCAAAAATAAGCCAGAAAGTATATTTTGTTTTACTTCCCAACTAGGATTATCCTGTTTTTACCAGGATCCTCAACAAATGTCAGCCCCTTCTACTAATAAAAGGTTTGGATCAGGGGTCTGCAACCTTCACAACCCAAAGAGCTGTTTTTTTTTTTTTGGTTTTTTTTTGCTCTTGTCCAGCTTACAAAAACCTGCCACAAATGTTGTGAGTTTCTGTATAAAAGAAATAACTTTTGAAAAATTTCTATGGAAGAAACTTATTTCTTTGTTTTGTTTAATAAAGGGAAACATTTTAGCAAAAAATGTATTATGTTCTATAGGATGTATATATTTATGGGAAGTAGTGGATATTGATCTCTAGGAAATATATGTCCACACCAATGGATTGTTTGGCTGATTATGAGAAAGCTGCAAACTGCACTCCCTGAAAAACATCAGTAGTACCTTTATAGGCTGGGCAGCTGGACTGAATTACACAAAGCTTAATTCAATCTCGTAAACAGTTGTTGACTCGAGCCAGATCTGGCCAGACCAATCACAATGCAGGAGGCATAACTTTATGATTCATGACTTTCGGCACCAGAATTGCCCATAATGCAGTCATGCATTTCTGCTAGGATAACGATAGGCTGGCATCCGCAACAGAGCAATGTTGAAATGAAAATTAAAGACGTAATGGGGAGCATGCCTCATATCCTCTGATATATATATTTTTTTTATTTAGGCAATCCGGCAGAAATCATTCACTGGTGTGTTTCTACAACATTTTGAAATGTTTCATGGACTACAAAAGTAAAAAAACAGATCGCTTTGCTTAGTGTTTTTGCTTCTCCATAGGTATGATTGAATTTAACTAGTCCTGCCTTTGAAATCCAACTGTAAAAGCCCCTTACGGACTGACTCGTCGAATCAGCCTGGCTGATCAGGCTAGTAACTTTAGAGTCATTGTCACATACAGATTCAGAGCAGTTATTCAGTTTAAATGGAAAAAGTGCTTAAAACCCTCAATATTTGTCAAAACATGAATAGGGGTTAGTATTGGCATGGGTGTTGCGACATGATACGTTTCACGATACAATATTTATCATGATATTGCATTATAGTTATATATATTGCTTTATTTTTCCCCAAGCTTTTAAAATTAGATGTATAGATAAAAAAAGGAAGTGCTGTATATGTTCATCAGAAGATATTGATCATTTAGTTATTTTAGTATCCATGTTATTTGGGGTTTGAGTCGGTCAATGTCTTCCACTGTGACTGTCTCAACTAGAGATGGTACTGCGCTGCACAGCAGAAGGGCTCCACTCGGCTATCTACCAGAGTGGCGATGCAGAGGTAGCCCTTTTCCCCTCAATGTTTTAGGTAAAAATGTTTTGTTTTTTTAAATTCGATATTAGGAAATGAAAAATCGATATTATATAAAAAAATCACATTAATATCACTAAATTGGTTGTTTTTTTTCCACACCCCTAAACATGAACTGGTTTGAAGTTATCAATAGCCACAGCTGAAGGCCCAAAGAGCCTGCACCAGGTTGCAGACCCCTGTTTTAGATGGAAACATAACCATCACTTAGCTTTCTGTATTCTTGGAGGCAGTTTGGTCTTATTACTCAGAATTTCTCCTGCTTTTGAAGTTCTATGCTGCTACAGCTGAAGTTTTTGCTTTTTACAGCTTGCCTTTAAACAAACAGTCCATCTCAGTCTGATATTCTTGTTTTTCTCAGGCTTCTGAAGATCCTTGACTATGATTCGGACCATGGTCGATCAGAGCCTTTCCGAACATATGAGGCTTTGGACCAAGCAGCTCGTAGCCTGAGGACCAACATCCAGCTAGCTCGCGACTCATTAGCCGGCGCCTGCCGTGAGCAGCGCTATGTGGCCGGCCGTCTGTATAGTGACTGTGAAGCGCTGCACAGGGCCACGTATACAGAGCTGCAGCAGTTGGTCTTAGGCCCCCAGGTATGTCCAACTGCCAGTGCCGACCAGGACCCTCTTTGCCCCAATGCACAGGTGGGTGTATTTCTTTTCACTCTCTTGGGCAGCCATACATCTACTCTGCTTTTAACGTGAGTGTTAAGTTTATAGGCATTGGTCACTCTGGGTGAGGGAAGCTGGAAGCGCACTTATTTGCACATTCATGCAGAGTCACAGAGTTGTAAAGTATCTTGAAGGGGTCTCTAAGAGGAAAAGTTTTACCTGAATGTACAACCTTTACAATCCAAAGAGCCATTTTCCTCACTATTTAACAAAAAATAATAACTTTTTAGATCAGAAAATGAATAAATTAATAACGTTTTGACAACAGATGACTCATGTTATTTTAGGTCAACTGCAACTTTTAGAGAGCTGTCATTTTAGTTTTAACTAAGCTTTTCAAAGCTTTGCTAAAGGTAAATGGATACCATTTTTTTTAACCTAATGACAAATTACTTTTGGTATCTTTCTGTTGCTGATTTTAGATACAATTTTTCCATTGTAAAAACTGCCAAAGTCTGCATTCTTATTATATATTTATTTACAAATGTTTTTTTTTATTAATTTTTTTTATTAGCTATAGCTAATAAAAAATATATAGCTATATTAGCTATGCCATTAGCTATTATATAGCTATATTAGCTATAGAGCCAGTCTATATTGTGTAAACCTTCTCCCTGCATATAAAGCCATTGTGCATTGCCAAATTTATCTCACAGTGGATTGTTTGGAGCGCATTAATTCTTAACTAGAATATTCCAAGTGATCAGAATGAGCATTTTTACATGCTAATGTATATTTAGATGGTGGGATAGTTTGAGGTGCTGCACCCGACACAGAGCACATTATTTTAAATGCTAAATGTCAGAGAGGGATGGAGACAGAGATGATAAAGAGAGCAAACAAGAAAATGGATCTTTATGTCACCATCATTTATCTGTTTTTTTTTTTTTTTTCATTTCATCTATCTGATCTGTCCATTAATGTATCTTCCAATGCGTCTGTCTGTTCATCCATCGTTCTCTACACATCAGTTCATTTCTCTGTTAGCTTCTTCCTAACTATTTCTAAGTTGCTCAGCTTGTCTAACTCGGATGTGATACAAATACATCTTGCCGGTTAATCCAATACATTTAGCAATAAAAAAAACTTATTGTTAACCTTTTTAAAAGAGATTCTGATTGGATTTTTTTTATTATCGGGAAATCACTTTATATCCCTCTATTAATGCGTTTGATTCATTTTTAAAGGCTTGCAGTGTTTTATTTCTGTTAAACATTTCACCAAATTGTCTAAATCATCGCCTGATTAATCAGATTATAAATTTGTAATTTTATTTAAAAAACAAGGAAATGCTTGTCTTTTGTCTAAATTCTATGTATTTAGTTCCAAGTTTACAAAAAATAATACATATTACAGCCTTAATGCTGATATTATGCTAATAGACATTAGTAGAAAGGAGTAGTTATAGCTTGTATAAGTAATATTAAATTGGACAGAGGGGGAATATTGCAGATCTAGATTAAAAATGATTTACATTTTTTCCTCTGAGGCACCAAGCTTTACTTTCTAGGTTTAGATAACAAGTAGCCTTGAAACTTGCACATTATATTGCTTAGTAATGATGAGTAATCAGTTTAGGTTTCACGTGTCTCTAAGCTGTAGCCAGGTTATTTTGTGCTAAGTCATGATGACCAGTTTACTCTCAGGTTATCCTCTGGATGAGTAGCAAACAGGAAGTCATTTGTTTTACATATTTGCATGTTGAAGCACTTTTTTTCACTACATTTTTATGAAGTCAGTTGTCTGAACGACTAGTGAAAAAACGGAATTAAACTGATTATATGGATCCTAATTCAGCTGAATGTGTACCTTCAGTTTGTTAGATGACTTCCCTCTCTTGACAGGAGCTGACGCTGAAACTTGCAGAAGCAGATTCTCAGTTGCAGAATCTCCAGCAAGTGATGCAAGAAATCCTGGGAGAAGTCAAAGCTAAGCGCTCTCAGCTAGAACGCAATCCCCTGCTCCGGCGGGAAAGGGAACTGTACATATTCTTCCACTTGGATGCACGGCTTCTGCAGAAAGTCGTGGAAGATCTGGAGAGCAGGATGACTAAGAAAGAGGAGCAGTGAAAACCACGAGGAGATCGTTCAGACATCTCAGCTCCTGTTCCTGCTCTGATAATGCGGACTGTTATTACCATCTTTTTTTCCCCTTTTACTATAGATGTTTCTGTATCGTTATAGGTTTGATCCACTCTTTGGTTCCTTTGTAAAAGTGATAATCAAATAGAAAACTGGTTGTGATTATTTGAATTACATAATGCATTTAAAATGAATTTCCTACTCTTTTATTCTAAAATATGATCTTTATCTGCTGAATAAAATTCTATTAACCGTACATGGTGTTCAGTTTTATTTGCAGATTTCTGATTAATTTAAAGTTTAATCCAAATCTGTGCAGCTCTTCAACCTCTTACTTGTCATTTTTAAATGCTAGAGTCAGAGGATGGAGATAAAGGAGCAGTCAGGCAGCAGGATGTACACGGCTCCGCTCTCTGAGGCGGCTCTTAGGGTCCTGGCTGCTCTACGGGCCCAGCATCAGGACCAGGGCAGTCTCAACCAACGCTTCAACACTCGCAGGCAAAGTCAGTCAGAGTAGAAGCTTTAGGAATACAAACCAATAACATTCATAGTTGAAGAATGACTCATTTGTAATTTTTTATGTATTTGGATTTTTCTTTTCCCCCAATGTTTTCTATTTGTTAGTGGAAAGCTGTAATTACAGCCGTGTAGAGCTGTGGACTGCAAGCAGCTGCAGTCAGATGGAGGCTAAAGACAGTTTCTCCTGTCGGTAAGTCAGAAGATCTCAGGTTTCTAGACAGTTATATGCAATTCTTTGCACCTATTTAGAAAAATGCAGGGTAATAATCTGCTAGCAGAAGCTCTATATAAAGGTGGCCTTTGGGTAACCTGGCATTACTCAGCAAATCAGAGCCTGAGTAATATGAGCTGTTAGATTACTCCTCATCAGTCATAAAGAACCGAGTTTGACCAAAGTTCAGCAATATCTGTTAACCTCGTTCAAACCATGCCCACTGTAAATGTCGTCTAGGTAATTGCAAAGTCATGGTCGCTGTAGATTTTACTCAATAGTCCGTCATAAAATAATGTGATTGTGAAGTGGAAGGAAAGTAATGCATGGATAGTAAAAGATAATTTAGTTTTACTAGAATTGGCTTTTTAAACGTATATTGGTATGTGTTACTGAAGTATGTTTAGTCGTAGAGACCAGTTATATATTTAGTGATTTGGAAGGGAAGACTCACATCATTCTGCCATTGTCACATTACACAGTAGCTGTGGTGGATTTTGTTAAAAGATCTGTATATGTCTTATCGGTAGGTTTGCACTTTGGCCACACACTTTCCATTGTCAGATAGTTGGGGGAACCATGCTCTGAGTCATGTTATTTGACATTTTGGAGCCTTACAAACATGTATGTATGCTGTGGTCAGAGCGCACAGTGATGGGCTCTACTGACTGGAATTTATTTAGAGACATCAAATCAAAGGCGGAATGGATAGGAAGATGGGTGGATTTGGGCCTCATCTCGTGTACAGTGTTATTTTTGCAGTGATAAATAGCTTAGTCAAAAAAACGCAGCTTTTATTAGTCATATGCTAAAGAAAGAGGATCCTCTCAGACAGGAGTGCCCTAGTTTAGTCCTTCAGAGCTACAATCCTTTATCTTTACAGGGAATCCTTCAACAAACCACTGAAGACACGTGGATATATATAGAGATTTATTAATTTTTTTTTATCTGTGTGGTATTCAGGTCTGGTAATAATTTGTCTGATTCATGTCTGTTGGAGAATGGCTGCATCTAAAACCTGGGAGAGCAGCTCTCATGGACTGGAATCTGCTCAGAATTGAACCACATCAAATGGAGGGAGTTAAATTTTGCATCTGATATGGATGCCTCCTTTTTTTCAACCCTGGCCTCACTAAAGGGAGACTTTTGTTTTTATAACATCTAAATGTAACCTTTTTCTTTCCTTTGCCAACATGCACAACTTTGAATTATTTAGGGGGGGGGTACACCCCGTTTTTATGTTTTAACGATAAAGATTTAACGGATCCATAATATTCTATATATCAAATTGGAAAGACTTTGAAATGCTGTAGTTATGCTGTAATTTGCATTTCCAAAAGTAGACAGCTGACGGAATGTCAACAAATTTGAGATAAAAAAAAAGCAATATATTTTGAAAGCTAAACATTTTGGAACCCCCGATTAACCAATTAAATCAGTTTCTAACATCTTAATGGAGGGTAATGTTTACATGGTTTAAACATGTTTTATACACATTAGTTTTAATTGTAGTTTTGATTTTTAATTCTGTTAAATTTTCATTCATCTTTGTATGTGTTTGCTACTTTGGTTAATGTTTTTTTATTTTTCAAAAAATGCTCAGTTTTAGTCTTTTTTTGTTTCAGTTATATTATGAGTCTTTTATGTATAGAAAGTCTAACATGCAAGACAAAAAAAAAATAAAATCTAGGTAGCAGCAAAAAAAAAAAAAAGCAGCAACTTAAGATTTAAGCTCATATTAATGTACTATGATAAAGACAAAGAGAACCTGAGCACACCCCCTCTGAATAGTCAGTTTATTTTAATTTGTTTTCTAAACTCTTATTACAGTTTCATTTAGTTTTAATTTTTTGTTTTTGTCAGTTAATGAAAATGTTTTTTTATTCTAGTTTTTCTTAGTTGTAACTGCAATTTCTTTCTTGAATTTAAGAGTTAAGTGAGACATTGCCAATGGAACATTTACATTTAAAATAAACTACTGCACTTATTTCAAGCGCATATTATCTAATTATTCTATTTTAAGAGTAAAACATCTAATTCCATTTGCAAATCAGCTTATTTACCTGCTCAAATTAAGGATAAATAAATTTGATTTAACACATTTTACTTATTTCTAGATTGTTTTTGTAGAGAAGTGGCAGTGAGAGCTGCGTAAACAGTTGTGATTGTTTTTGGCCAGTATTAATGCAAAGCCTCACTTTGCACCACTGGCACATGATTGACGTTTGTCCATTCTGGCTCTTCCAGCATCGGCTTTTACTGACAGAATAGAAAGGTACCCTATCCTATCATCACATATATCATCCAGGGGGCTGGAGATTTTTGGATGCCTGATGTTGTTGCCAGGTTTTCTGATCATGTGGAGGGGCGTCCTCACTCAGAAACTCTGAGAGTAATCAGGGTGTTTTATATTCCTAACAGGGTAACATATCCGCTAGGATACAGACACTTAATGCCTCATTATCTGAACTGATTAAATTTCATACGTTTTTGACAGAGATATATGACTCTTAAAGAACAGTACTTTAATAAATTAAATCATCTGATATCAGTTTAAGAATAAAAAGCAACTCTAACCTAACGATGCGAGTCTGTTTAAGCAGGCTGCCATTGTGTCTTAAATAAAAGTCAGATTTTTAATGCTGGTATAAGGTCTCATGACCTCAGATTTCTCCTCTTCCCCCACTTAAACATCTCCATTGATGTTAAGTGCAGGTGATTGCCCCTATGCTACGCTGGCAAGCTCTGAGTGGCAGCTGTTCACGTGTGCACGTATGTTTGTATGCACATTCGGCAAGCCTGGCTATGAGAGATGGTGTGTGACGTTTTACCATAGTCTGTCTGGAAAAAAAAAACTTTTTGTCAAAAAACTATTTCTTCACTTCTTTTTAGTTCAAATAATGAAAGGTTATATTATGTAGCATTGCAATATAGTAAATATTACAGCTTCTAAACTTCTTCCTTATTGCTATGATTCAAGGTCCCAAGTGTTGTTTTCCATCTCTGATCATCACTCTACCGATGAGACACTGAGTCATCAGAATGCTGCAGACAGTCAGGCCTCCTCCTCCTGCAGGAATCCCCCCCTCCAACAGAAGCCCCCTCAGACCCTCCCAGATCCTCCTCCTTACTTGTTCTCTCAGGAGACTGAAGAATCCCTCTGCCAGCAATACTCATCTCCCTATTTTCCCCATCCACCAAACAGTCTTCCTGCTCATCAAACTGCACGTTGCAGCAGGTAAGATGCAAAGCACTGAACTGTAAAACTGATTTTAAATGAAAGTGTTAATTGTTGTTTTCCTCTTAAAGTTCCACAGGAATATTAAAGCCAGCGTTTAAGCTCAGTGAATTCACAGATCATAGCGGCCCTGATGAATTATCTGCCTTTACCTCAGAGCAGTCTCATTCTTTAGCGTGTCATCCGCCATTACCCTGCTCTGATAAACCTAAAAAGACAGTAAACCTATCAGGTCCACACAATGAAGATGAAGCTACCTGGGATATTGGTTCCAGTGAAGCAGAGTGTCATGAACCTCCAGGCAGTGGAGCAAAGTGGAGACATTGTGTGTCTAATCCCTCAGAAGAGGGACTTCAGCCCTTAAAGCTGAACACAACCGGAACCAGAGGAGGACACCTGCCTTCCATGTTCCAGACAGCAGAGAGGGAACCCTCAGGGGGACCAATAGTTCAGTCAGAAGACACCAAAGTCATCCTGGAGTACAACTGCACCAGCAGCCTGACCAGATGTGGCTTGATGGCTACAGCAATGGAAAGAAAAACAGATACAGATGTTGAAGAATACAATGAAACTGATGAGATGCCAAAACAGCAGAATTCTGACTCTGGAGATGCTGATTTACACAGATCAAACTCAGTTACACAAAAGATAGAAGAAATCAGACTTTTATCTAATTCTGCTGGTGAGTTTTTTTTTATATTATTCACTTTAAAATACAATATTGTAATTATTCCCTGCATTGTATATTTTAGATTCAGCATGAACTCCCTTTATTACTGATTTATAAAAACTAACTTGTGCATACCACCAGAGGGTGCTACAATCCTTTAACTAAAAGCTTTAATGAGTGAAAGGTTAATCACACAGTACATTGCTGTGGAAATTAAGTTCACAGCTGAATATTTTTGGCTCTATGAATTTAAAATTATGATGCAGAAACCAGAAAAATGTAAAAGCTCTATCCCAGTCTATTGGAAAAGTTCAGACTTGGATTAGCAGAGGGCTCAGTGTATTCTGTAGTCTCTGATTCCATTAGTGTTTTCTAATCCTGGATAGACACTGTATGTAGTAGCAGAATTTCTATACTACGTCTCTGTCCATTTAAAGATCCAGCTGTCGACTTGGGATGGTCATTTATCGTAATATCATCTTGGTATGTTTCTAGTCAAGAATTAGATGAATCTAATTCTAATTAGTCTAAATGATAAAATTGGAAACAAATAAATTCATTTTTTGGAATTTTTTTTTTTTACAAATTTTTTTCCTTTAATTTTTTTTTCCATTGGGGCTTTGATAAATTTGAAGAAATTATTAAATGTTTACTGCTAAAAAAGATACTTCTTAATGTAACTGGTCTCCTGAAGAAGCCGTATTTTCTTAGGTACATTCTTCAAGAGTATTATTTGTGATTGTGGGGCTGTAATCACTATAGTAAGCACTCAGAGCATTAAGGTATCTCACTGTTATCACAATATTCTCACCCAATATAGTGATAAGATTTAAGCCCTACTGTCCATCTATATATTTTTTTCTTTTCTCCATCTGATCTTTTACCTGACCATCCATATCTGATGTTAATAAAATGATCTATCAATAAAAGTGATTTTGGATTTATTGGTACTATTTTTTAACTGGCTTCAAGTAAAAGATGTAACATGGGAAATCTGTAGTACCCCTTGGAAAAGTAAACGTGTTTACTTTGGTCCGTTAAACATATCACTTTTCAAATTAAACATTTTCAAAATAAGTCTTATCCAGAGAATAACTGAATTATACTACAAACACATTGTTGTTTTTTTTGCCCTTCGTTTAAAACTAAGCCAGGAAATAGTGATTTAGTATATAAAGGAGCACTATTTAACTTTTTCCTACTCATCCTGGGGTTTAAACTAGCGATGCACCGATCCAATACCTGGATTGGATATCGGTTCCGATATTGACTAATCGGCTGAATCAGATATCGGTGATTTGATAACTATATAGGAGATCTAATCCAGGGCATTTTACATGAAACTGTTATATGTTGCTTTTTGCTGCTTATTTGTCAAAATGAGTATAAGGTGAATGTAATTCTCTGTTAATTTGTTCCCATTTTCTAACAATGTTTATGTCAAGGCTAAGGCCTTGACTCACATGGCAAGTTGTATGGTTCATTCAGCAGTTGAATCGGATCGGTATCGGAATTGACCAATATGCTCAGCCCAGGTATCTATATATGTGTGCATCTCTATTTTAAAGCAACCATTCAGTTATATCCCACACTTGCATGGGGCAAACATGCAAACTCCATGCAGAAAGAGGCCTGGATTCTAACCCCTTTTTCTTGAAAATAACATGAATTCTAACAGCGCTTCAGTGCTGCCATAGCGTCATAATGTAACTACTTGTTAGGGAAGCTGAGACACGTCAAATCAAACAGTAGTGGCACTCGCCTATCTTTTTAATTCTGCTGAGTGGCAGTGATGCCATGTCATAGTGTCACGTTTCAGCTGAATGAAGGAGTTAGTCTGAAATGTGCAAAGACGGTGCTGAATCAACTGACCCGCATGCATTCCTCCTCAGCAGCATTGACTTCTAGGAGAAGGGTCATGTAATCTTGGCAGACCTCGCTGTGCCGCACCGTGCTGATGCATGCTGATGCCTTTATGGCCTTGTGCATGCCTACTCGGAAACATGCTTACAGGACAGAATAGATTTATTGATTCAGGATGGAGAAGAAGAGTGATGATCAGATTTGAAAAATAAAATGCTGCCACCTGCCTTTTTCTAGGGGCCTCGAATGGAGAACGATGTACCGTGCCAACGCTTACCCCTGGGTACGGGCTGCCTAGGTCAGGGTTCAGACCTCCTTATCGCCCTGGCAACCAGCAACATATTCTGCAGGTTAGTCTTTATGGAACAAAGAGGCTTAAGATGATGCAATAAAAGATATTTGTGAGTTGAGCTGCTAAATTTGTAGAAAGGAAAATGTTCTATCTGTAAAGGACTTGCAGAGTTTATTTGAAGCTTTTTCTCTATTTTCATACAGACTTATTAAACCACTGCCTCTTAATCCCTCCTTCTGGAGACACCGGTTACTATTATTGCAGGCTTCCAAAGAGTCCTAAAATTTCGATGGCTGCTTTTTAGCAGGGGATTAGGTCTCCATGTCTTCACACACTGACTAATTAATCTGTCTTGCATGAAATTGGGAAGTTTGGGGAAGTTTTCCAGCACGCAGACAACTGATGGCTCATTACTTAGCTGTAAAGTTCACAGTAAGTTCTTGCAGAGTCATCCTGATTTTTGTTGTAAGAGCTGCAAAGTAATAAAAAGGGGTTTATGGATCTGCAGATGAATAACCAGATCAAAGATCCTCATGGAAAAGATGGAGCAGAGAAGATTACAGAAAGAGGCGCAGGGCTATGCTGTATTGCTACAATCAGCAGCAGATGTCCTCTCTCACCCTTCTCATTCAGCCTCTCACAGTTTCCTTTGCCTGGCGCTCGGCTACGGGCCACGGCCTGCCTCGCTTTTCTATCTATATCCTGTAGCACAGCACCCGGGGGAGGTTCATGACTTTGTCAGCAGGAAAACGGGTTGTGTTTACAGGGAAATGAAGAAGATTCTCCTCAGGGAGCTGATTCACAGGAATGCCTATCCAGTGAACGCCTCGCTGACAGACACACAGAGTTCTGCGCCTGCATAAAGTCGCCAATTATTATTTATCTAAAATCATCACAATAAATGTATCTTCACATCTCTTGCCTGTGCCCTAAACTCAGCTTAAAGATTGATTGTTTGTGATAATAAGTTGATTAAGTCATATTTTCTAATTTTATTTATATATATATATATATATATATATATATATATATATGATGCTTTTATTTAAATCTCTGTTCACTATTTCAATGATTAGCATAAAGTTAAATAATTGAAATAACCAAAAAAGTAAAAGCTAGGGTTGTCAAAAGTATCGATACTCAAAAAAGTATCGATACTGAAATGTTGTATCCGGATACAATACTCATTTTCAAAAGTATCGAGTACCAGTCGCACCTAAACAGTCATTCATCTAAAGTGCAGAATAGAGGAAAATGCACTTTCTGAACACTGTGTGATTGAATAATTCTGTGCACTTTTCAGTTTCAGACTTTTTTTGTAACAGGTGCAGCTGCTGAGAATTATTTTTGTTTCTTAACCGGTTTGGCTAGTGTCATTGTTATGTGTGCAAAGCATAGCCAAGTAAGGAAAACTTAATTTTAATTTTGTAAGTTTTTTATCAAGCTTGCTAAATACTGTGCACAGCAAACAACCTCAAAATGTTGTTCTTATTGTTTATTGTATTTATTTATTTATTGTATTTTAATTATTAATCAAAATATTTCGGTTGAAATTTTATCCTTATGGTATCGAAAATGGTATCGAGTATCGAATATTTTCCTTAGTATCGGTATCGAGTTGAAAAGTTTAGTATCGTGACAACCCTAGTAAAAGCATAATATTATTTCTATGGAAAAAAAATGGAGGGAACAGATGGGGTGATGTTCAGTGTGTGTGACCCTGTCCCTGCTTCAGGCAGACTTCTCAGACAAACTGCATCTTCTCTGTCTGTCCTCTTGTCTGGGAAACAGTGCTGAGGGCTGAATCCCTCTTCATCCTCTCTAGTTTCCTTTTTTGGTCTTTTTACAGCGAATCCACCTGCTGTTTTTGTTTGTTTTTTGTTTAACTTCCACATTGTGCTAAAAGAAAAGTTTAGTTTCTAGCAAATGAATTCACACTGTAAACTATTTCATAATTTGCTATGTTACAACTACAAACTGCATTGTGTTTTTGTAAAATTTGATGGGATAGATAAACAGGAAGTAGTGGATAAGTGAAACTTAATAAACGTGGTTTTGACTTAGTGAAAATGAGATTTGTGCTTGTATCCACCACCTCTGAGCCACGTCTCATTGCAAATAAAGCTAACAGTTTTATTTTTTTAGAGCATGTTTCAAGCTTTGCACAACTAGATGCACGATGCAGCCACCAATATATTGACTAAAGTGATGATGTGGCCAGAGGCGGACGTATTGTTAGCTTTTAGCTTTAAGCACCAAAATGGTAAGAACACCTTTCTTTATTTGTCCTACAATTCTCTTATTGGGAGTCGACCATAAACGGCAGATTTCTGTGAAACATATAGATAAATGGTTTTCCTCAATACATCTACTTTACAATTCTGCACATTCTTGACTCCTTGTATCATTTCAGTAACATCTTAATCCTATATATGCCTGCTTTATTTTACCACAGTAATGGAAGGTTAAATACATATGCACAGCTTTTACATATTTATACGTAGCAAAAAACTGGGGAACCATAAATTATTTTCCTTTTGCTTCTGATTGTGGGCGAAACTTCATAAAATGAGAAAAAGTTGACAGTTTTTTTTTTTATATTGTCTTGTATATGAATGTGAAAACGTTCTATTTAAGTCACCATTTGTGGATACTTCTGTACATTATATAAGATCTTCTCGATAGCAGCGGCCTATTTTAAGTCATATTTAGATGTTTTAAACAGATCATTTAATTTTATTTTGAAATATGCATGTATATTTTTATTGTTTACTTTCTTTTTTCAGACCAGCACAAATTCAGGCCTGGTACTCATTCCACAAGGCGGATGGAAATTTCCCTTACAGCAGGAGTTGACCATAACAGAAGCTGTTAATGAAGACCTATATACAAGAAAAATAGCCTCTGAGCTGAATTTGCACCGTCCTCCCCTCACATTATCCTCTCCTCTGAAGAGGAGGTGGGATTTATTTCAACATGTACATCCGTCACTCAAGCAGAACAAAACAAGTCGCCATCCAAAGTGGGAGCCGCCTCAAGTGACGGTGATGGAAGAAGGAGTGCGTGCTTTGAAGAAAGTCAGACTTCAACCGTCCATTTCTGGAGGTCCATTATCCTCAGAACAGCAGCAACAAAGTCAGATTAAAATCGCTCCCTGCGAGAAGAACCCTGTGTTTAAAACCCACCCAGAATTTCTTGTTCTGAAGGAAACTCAGCCTGTCAGTCAAAGCAAAGTGAAAAAATCCACCCACGAAATGGAAAGGAAGGCACCTGAGCAAAAAACCTTCGACAAACTATGCAAACATCAGTTGGCCAAAATGAGGTTCAATCCAGCAAAAGATGTTTCAAAAGGTTTTCATGAGGTCATTACCACGACTGAGCTACAAATTCATCCCAGAAGCAGCCTACCACCTGCAGCCCGGCCATCCGATGCCAGGATAAAGGACTCTGGGACGCTGAATCAGGAGGAGAGAGAGCAGATGCTAGAGGAGGTGTCCCGTGCTGAGGTGGTGGTGCTAACACTGATGTTTCAGGATGGAACAACTCAGTTGGATCCTGAACAGGTGAGTGGACCCCAGTGGTAAGCAGACTGAAGACAACAAACTGGTTAAAGCTGTAGAGGGAACAAGCCAGGTCACTGGTGATGAACATTGCCATTAACTAGTGTTGGGAATGGATGGATCAATCCATCAGAACCAGTTGTAACCTTTCAATTCTCCTGGAATCACTCAATTATTTATTATTAATTCCTAGTTTCAAAGCCCAGTCTGCTAATAGGGAATAGAAGCTGCTCAATATCAGAAATAAAGAATCACAGGCATGTGAGCACAACCACCTGTTTGTGTTGCAGCATTCAAAATTGTATCTTAAATTTAATTAAGGAAATAAAATAAGGTCGACCACGTGCAACAGTTGTGATGATACTTGTTTCCTAGACGTTTTGGATAGAATGTAAAGCCCTTTAACATAGAGCTGCCGTAGATCATTCCTGAAGCTCATTAGTTCATAGGTTTGATATTTAGACACTGGATGAAATTATTTGATCATTTATAGTAATGTTTACACAAAGCTAGATGTTATAGGGATACAATTTCATTTACAGGTGCTGGTCATAAAATTAGAATATCATGAAAAAGTAGATTGATTTCAGTAATTCCATTTAAAAAGTGAAACTTGTATATTATATTCATACATTACATACAAACTCATATATTTCAGATGTTTATTTTGTTTAATTTTGATGATTACAAATGACAACAAATGAAAATCCCAAATTCATCATATCAGAAAATTAGAATATTACTGAAGACCAATAAAAACAAAGGATTTATAGAAATGTTGGCCAACTGAAAAGTATGAACATGAAAAGTATGAGCATGTACAGCACTCAGTATTTAGTTGGGCCTCCTTTGGCCTGTATTACTGCAGCAATGCGGCGTGGCATGGAATCGATCAGTCTGTGGCACTGCTCAGGTGTTATGATAGCCCAGGTTGCTCTAATAGTGGCTTTTAGCTCTTCTGAATTGTTGGGTCTGGTGTATTGCATCTTCTTCACAATACCCCATAGATTTTCTATGGGGTTAAGGTCAGGAGAGTTTGCTGGCCAATTAAGAACAGGGATACCATGGTCCTTCAACCAGGTACTGGTAGCTTTGGCACTGTGTGCAGGTGCCAAGTCCTGTTGGAAAATGAAATCTGCATCTCCAAAAAGTTGGTCAGCTGCAGGAAGCATGAAGTGCTCTAAAACTTCCTGGTATGTGGCTGCGTTGACCCTGGACCTCAGAAAACACAATGGACCAACACCACCAGATGACATGGCACCCCAAACCATCACTGACTGTGGAAACTTTACACTGGACTTCAAGCAACGTGGATGAAGTGCCTCTCTTCTTTTCCTCCAGACTCTGGGACCTTGATTTCCAAAGGAAATGCAAAATTTACTTTCATCAGAGAACATGACTTTGGACCACTCACCAGCAGTCCAGTCCTGTTTCTCTTTAGCCCAGGCAAGACGCTTCTGACGCTGTCTGTGGTTCAAGAGTGGCTTGACACAAGGAATGCGACAGCAGAAACCCATGTCTTTCATACGTCTGTGTGTGGTGGTTCTTGAAGCACTCACTCCAGCTGCAGTCCACTCTTTGTGAATCTCCCCCACATTTTTGAATGGGTTTTGTTTCACAATCCTCTCCAGGGTGCGGTTATCTCTCTTGCTTGTACACTTTTTTCGACCACATCTTTTCCTTCCCTTCGCCTCTCTATTAATGTGCTTGGACACTGAGCTCTGTGAACAGCCAGCCTCTTTAGCGATGACCTTTTGTGTCTTGCCCTCCTTGTGCAAGGTGTCGATGGTCGTCTTTTGGACAACTGTCAAGTCAGCAGTCTTCCCCATGATTGTGTAGCCTATAGAACTAGACTGAAAGACCATTTAAAGGCTTTTGCAGGTGGTTTGAGTTAATTAGCTGATTAGAGTGTGGCACCAGGGGCCATCAATTTTGAACCTTTTCACAATATTCTAATTTTCTGATATGATGAATTTGAGATTTTCATTTGTTGTCATTTGTAATCATCAAAATTAAACAAAATAAACATCTGAAATATATGAGTTTGTATGTAATGTATGAATATAATATACAAGTTTCACTTTTTAAATGGAATTACTGAAATCAATCTACTTTTTCATGATATTCTAATTTTATGACCAGCACCTGTAAAGTTCAGACTATTTCATCCAGACAGAACTCAGTCAGCTAATGTAAGCTTTTATGATTCTTCTTAAAAGAATGAATTAAATAATCAATAGCAACCAAATTAAAACAAGGAATTTTCCATCCATTTTCTGTCACGCTAATTATTTTTGCACCGATGCCATTCCTTGGCCCAGATACCCGATACCTGGCTTTGCAGTATTGGCCGATACAGATACCATCTGTTTGAAATTGATGGGTGTGTGTATATATGAAGAACCACATACTTGGATGTAAAATAATTGCCATCATGGCTTTGTCAAGCTCCTCGTAAAGCAGGAAAAAGACTAATACAAAGTGAATCCAGTAGAACTTTTTATTGGCTACCTGGTATGGGTAATAATAGTTGAATAAGTTTTTGGCTTTCAAAATGGTATTGGTGCCCTATTTGTCGGTATTCGACGCTACCACCATATTTGGTGCTGGATCGGGGTCCTGTCTGATACTGTTATCGGTATCAGCGCAACACTTATGCTTATCCCAAGCGGGGTTGCGAGGGGTGCTGGTGCCTATCTCCAGCTGTCTACGGGCGAGAGGCGGGACACACCGTGGACAGGTTGCCAGTACATCGCAGAGCAACACAGAGACACACAGGACAAACAACCATTCACTGACACCTAAAGAGAATATAGAGAGGCCAATTAACCTAACAGTCATGTTGTTGGGAGAAAGATGAGTAGCCGGAGGGAACCCACGCATGCTCAGGGAGAACATGAAAACTCCATGAGGAAAGACCCCGGGCCGGGTATGGAATCCAGAATCTTCTTGATGCAAGGCAGCAGTGCTACCCACTGTGCCACTGAGCAGCCCAACAATGAATCAGAACAGTTTAAATTCATTGTCATGGCCAACCCTAAACGTCCAGAAAGCTTTAGTTTGTTGTTTGATTTTGGTCATTTGATATTTTCTAAAGCAAGGCAAAAAAAAATTTATAGCACCATTCAGTACAAACACAATTCAATTTGCTTCACATGAATTAAACAGTATATTAGAAGGAAAATAAAAGCACAATTAAAAACAGGTAGTAAAGCAAATAATAGCAAATACAGAGTGGGCATGTTTGTTGTCACTTTCCTTTTCTGTGTCGCATTCTTATATTCAGAATGGTGATGGGGACGTTTGGATTTCTGGCATTTTGCGCCTCTAAACTTGAATTCCCTCACTCTGAACCTGTCTGAAGCACTCAACTCTGACAACGTTTCTGCAACTGCTGTCTTGTTTACATCCTTTTTCCCCCGTGCTCAGCTTAAATGACCGCTAATGTGAAATATGAGGAAGTTCTGTTAATACATCACCTTCCCAGGATTCATTTGGTTGAAAGTGAGAAGAATTCACACTTTATTTCATTTATTTATGAAATGGATACATCCACAAGACTGCACAAAAACCTACCTATTTTCCCTCAAAATGTTCAGAAGCAGTCTGAAGCATTCTAAGTCACCTCATCTTTTTAAAGATACACAGTGTGAAGTCCTTAGTCTGTTTCTAACAATGCACACCTTAACCAACCTTCTGATATCATCACAAGTATCCTGGAGCCAGAGGGAGAATGTTATCATTCTCGGCCTGCAGCTGCGAACAACAGTAGCTGACTATGCAGTTACTTTCAAGGCCAACGCTTCCCCTCAGATTGGTAACAAACTTGGTGCAGTCTTAAAGTTCATAGTTCTTCAAACAATGGAACATCTGAAATCTTAATATAATGCATTGTAACACACAGTCATGATAGCAGATTTGTGAACCATCAGCTTACACTTTTTCAAAAATGTCTATCAGCCAAAAACCGAAGATGCACTGTTCGGCCATTTTCTGTGGCCAAATTTTCGGTGCATCCCAGGAGAAAATGATGGTGCATCCTCATATTGATCAGTTCAAAGCATCAAGCCAATGCTCTGTTGGTTTCAGAGTCATGTGATGAAATTATGATGTAAAGCTGTTTGTCGTCGGCATACCTATAGTAGCTGATAGTGTTTGATATAATCTGAGCTACCGGTAAATAAGCATGTCTTACTCTGATGATTTGTCATTGTATTTTATTTTAAATCCTTTGAAACAAGGTTTCTCAAACTGTTTTTTCTTTTTCTGATGGCGGACACAGAAGGTGGCTCCAGTAGTGTGTGGCCTCCTTGTTTTGATGAAGACTGATCTTCGCTGCACCACACCTTGTTGTTCTCTTGGTTTGAATGACAGCTTGGTCTACTTTAAACTAGAGCGCAACCCTCCATGGGCACAGCAGAGGATTCAGCTCGCTCAGCAGCTCTTTACCAGGTCTGACTGTTCATATGGAGAAATATTGGTACAATAAAGAGTTTGACAGTAAAACCTAGAGACTTTTACAGATGTAGAATTCCTAACATGTGTGTTTCTGATTATATACCACAGGGCTATGCTTCTACGGGTATTGTCAAGGTCTGGACTTGTGATTTGTTATAAAGCCAAGGATTTCCTTCGAACAGTTTTGCTGTTTTACAAACATGATCTCAGCTGGAAGGAAGGTAGGACTCTTCAGATGATGAATTTTCCGTCACCAATAGCCTGGGTCTGTTGTTGGCTTCAGATTTCATCAAAGATAAACTAAACTAATGAGCGACAGGTTGTCATTATTGAGAGGTTTGAGCCACAGTTGAAGCTGTGATTACCTGAACTAATTGTACAATTCATTTTAATGAATAAAGGAATTAAAATACAAAAGTGTTGAAGTTGCTGAAGATATGTGTTTTGTTTTTCCAGTCAGTTACTCCTATTAAAGCTAGTTTTTAAATTCTAAGTTTGTTTCTTTGTACAGTTCTGTTCTTTTAATTTATTTTTCACTTACCTCTTTTCTAATTATAATCACTTTTAAATGACTGTTTTTAAGAGACGTTCACAAGTTAAAATATGATTTTATGATTTTATGATCAATCTCTGGTTCTAGACCAGTTGTAGTAAATTATTAGTACCAGTCTCTTTACATATTGGGTTCCTCTGTCAGATGATGCTCTTATGTTTTTGAGGTTTTTACTGTTTGCAGTGGCAGGCTGTCAGATCCAGGATCCACAGGTTTCTGGTTGGTTGCTGGATCCTTCTGATCCCTCCTCCTGCTTCAATGATCTGCTACTTAGACACTGCAAAAACCCTTGTGCAACATCCCCGGGGTCTGACAAGGTTAGCAAAATGCAGTTCATTAAATATGGCATTGCTCCAATTTTCCAGAAATGTCAAAGACTTCTTGTTTTTGAATCTATTTGGAATATCTTTCAAGCACAGCATGTAATATAAATGAGCGCTTTAAAGGTATATGGAATTATGTTGACTTTTTTTTTTACTATTTGCTTTTTTCTGAATTAGTTGCAGTATATAATAGAGTTTCTGCAGTGAATCTGGAGATAGATGTGTCTCAACATGCAATGCTCCCATCAGGCTGGGGAGTTTCATTTCTAGAAATCAATATTCACTTGGGTTCAAAATACTTTTATTCTGGAAGGAGAATGAAACACTTCAATTGATGTATCTCTGTGAATAAAATGCCTGAATTTCAATGAACAATCTTGTCAAACATTTAAGACATTGTTGTATACATTGAGGTTGTTTCGTTTGTGTTTAGTTTTGGTTTAATTATCCTAAAGCTTATTTGATTTAGAGGATATTTAAGCTGGTAATTACAGCCATAATGACTTTTTCATCAGAATGATAAACAAACTAATCAGGGTTAAACTCACTTAAAGACGGATAGAATGAATGCATGTGTTGCTTTTGAATTGAGTCTTTGTGGTTATTTAATTAACATGGGCAAAATGAAGTCAAGTTGCTGAATTCATCAATGTTTGTAGAACTAGAGCAGACTGTACCAGAAAAAAAACATGAGAGATTTTTTGTAGGATTCTAACCAGGACTAATAAGTCACATTTTAAACCTTTCTGCAAAAAAAGTTGTTGAACCTCTGGTTAGCAATTCTTATTGGTAATTTTATTTCATTTCACATTTATTTGTAGAGGTTATAGAGGTTGGTATTGTTGTTTACAAGAGACACAGGTTTTGATAAAAACAAAAAAAAATTGCACAGCAACAAAACAAGCAATTAAACATTTTGATCCTGTTTAAATAAGCTAATAAACTGAGTCAAACCTTTTCATTGCTTCTTGTGCTGGAAACAAATTAGACACACTGGTTTTAGGTTTTGAATAGAAATGTGTTGTATGAAGCTCTTGTCTCACTTTTCTTTCTAAGTCGAAGGTAGTAAGACATTTTTCAAAGAATTATGTTTTTCAGTAGGAAAAAAACAACATGATTTCACTTCTTAAAGAAGTGTTTGTTTGTTTTTATCAAAACTGGTCTCTCTCGTTAAGCAGGTTACCAATGAGATAACCTCTACAAATAAGTGTGAAATGAAATAAAAATGACAAATTTCACTTCTTAAAGAAGTGAAATCACCCATCCATCCATCCATCTCCAACTCTTTCATAGCAACACATTCCCATAGAGCTGGTTCTTTATTTCCTATGAAGGGAGCCAACCACCTTTAACCAAGATTTCCGTCCTGATCCATATTTCTTGACCATAGATGTAGTAAAGCAGATTGGGTTTCATCTGCAGTGTGTGAGTGTCATCATCCCTTAAGAAGACACCAAGATAAAGTCCCCGACTTTGGACAGAGAGGAAGTAGTTGACTCCTTCAGCCCTCTGACATCTTTCATCCTACCTAACATATTTCATCTAAGGAGCCCCAGAACAAAGACCCAGATGAAAAAGATGGATACATCAGAATTACAAATAACCTTATGCTGTAGCGCAAAAGCTTAATGTTTATAAATTAACTGTGCAGATTAGAATATCTTTTAGCTCCTTGGTCAATTTTAAACAAGTGTTGCTTTGTTAAGAATAATGACTGGTGATCCTTGAAACAGCGACTTTTAAAACCTCTATATACCTTCATACTGACATTTAGACCATATCTACTTCGTCATAAAAAAATAATCTAATATAGAGAACTAGACAAACTTAGAATGTTTCTTTTCTCTGCTCCCTCATTCACCTGCCTGCTATCTTTTGTTTAGGTTTCTCAAATCATCTCAAGTCTCTGTTGGCTTTTTGAGCTTAATCTAACATTATGCTCTAAACTTCAGGTTGGTTGGAAACACTCGTAATTAACTAAATGTGATAAAACACAAAAATAACTTGCCTGTTGACATTTTCAGAGCCAAGGCTTGTGGGAACTTTACTCAGAAATGGAGGTGAAAATGATCACCATTCTTGGAGGTAAACAGCTTTTTTCAGTAAAATGACATTTAGGACATTTCTTATAAAATTCTATTAGATCTGTTAGATATATTTAAGATTAAAAATAAATCCCAACCTTGTTATCTTATTGTTTTAACCTTACTATCTAACTACTGTCAGCATCTACAACAACCAATTGTGAAAACTCTTATGAGTTACAGCATTACGAAACATTTTAAATTGTATTGAATAACTCTTATTCTTTCTTCTTATTATTATTATTCATTATTTTTAACTTCCTTTCCAGAAAAAAATAAGAACACAATGATAGAATACTGACTCTTTCAACTTTCAAAAGTTAGAAAACATGTGTTGCATTTCAGTCATGGAAAGCCATTCCATCTGTGTGGACAAAGGAGCACTTAAGAGAACGTCAGACCTACTTGGGGTAAGGTCGCATTGCTTAGCAGCTTTTATATGGTTGGATACATGTTGAGGAAACTCACTTCCTACTGCCAACGTGTTTAAGGATGTTTTAGATGTATCCCACAACAGCAGTGCAGTAGATTAAGTTGCACAAATGCAGGCTAGCTAAAATACACTCCTTTAATCATTTAGCTCATGCATTGAAGAAAACAACAACAACAACTGTAGCATCTTATTATTGTGGGTGCAAAGGCACCGTATTGGATTGGGAATCTTTAATCTCTTAGAAAATTCATTTGTTTTTAAATTCAGAGGGTTAAGATGGGATTATAAATTAATTGACTGATTAGCTGTAACAGATCATTCTATAGGTAGTGGGCTAAATGATGCAACCAACCATTTAAAGTCAGGTGACTACTTCCTGATGTTCATGAAGAGAATGCCAAGAATGTGCAAAGCAGTATGCAAAACAAAGAGGCTGTTTTAAAGTTATTTCAAATTTTTAATTTGCTAATTAACGCTTTATGGTTTGCTTTAAAGCTTTGATGTCCTCGCACTACGTACCTATTTATCAGGAACTAGAAGAGTAAATCTTTAATGCTAACAAGAATTTGATTTCTTATTTTTATATATATTTTTTTGGCTTTGAGCTGGTGGCTATTTCCTTTTCAAGGTGTTTTTGTGGAGATTTTTGCTCCATCATTCTTCCTGGGTGAAATGTTGCCTACAGGAGCCCAGGGTGGGGCATTTTTTATGCTTCAAAGGAAGGTTTAGCAGTGAGACTCTTTTGTGGTTGAGGAGGGGATGAAAGAGATTTGTCTTTTTTTCCCCCTCCATTTGATACGGACATCTTCTGGGATTACATTGAGATAAAAAAGATGTATTGAGACTATATGCCAGAGTTATCACTTAGTCACAGAGAGTATGATTTATGTTGTAGGCATTGATCCCTGCTGTTTTATTTCAGGCACAGAATCAAACATATGCTCTTAAACATCTGTTGGAAACACCAGCAGGGGAGTTGTTGTGGAGACAGTCTTGGTATCTTGTCTGGTGTTACTATAAATAGACTACATAGTCAGATTTTTTATTTTTTTTTAAGAGGCTAGCTGCATGACAGAACTTCACACTCCGGAGGAGACGCTGATGCTCACAGTTGTGTGTACTTTTTTCTTTTTGCAATATTCAGTAACAGTGAATGCCTCGAGGTGTGTCCCCACTCTGTCGTTTTGGGTTTCAGACAGGTGAACCTGTCAGGTTCTCCTGCCTGAACATTAAGTCTCTGTTCTGTTAGACTGTGTCTCACAAGCATGCTCACATGGTGCTTTGTTTTTCTAGACAGCATCACATAACTCAGCAAGACAGAACTCACTAAAATAACACGTCATTGTTTGTCTAGGCTGTTTAGATCACATTAAAAAAATCCTTTTAATATTAAGCTAATCATGATCAAAAAGAAAGAAGAAAAAAAACGCAGGAACAAACTGCACCCATTCAGGGAGTTGGCACACAGATGTCCTCCAAGTCTGCACCAACTAAAGGGCTAGCATGTAATATAAATGAGGCAGTCTGGAACCTGCTGCAGGGGACGAGGAAAACTGGAAGAAAAGTCCAGTTTGGAGAAATCTGGTGGATGTATTCCAGCTAGCCTATTTTTGCCCTTTTGCTGTCTGTCTCTTCGTGTTTGCTTCCCCTATTGCCACCTTCAGGGTTCCTACAGTCGACTAATATTAGTTTATAATCAAAATTTTGTATTGTCCATTAATTAAAACTGAAGGAAAAACAATATATTTATTTTATTAGATTTTCTTCAGTGTATAATTTTCTCAAAGATCCATTCGTCCATCCATCCACATTATGATTTTCCCTGTGTCTTATGTTTCCTCCCTTTGTCGTTTTCTCTAGCATCCTCCAACCTCTCTGTTTGTATCTTACTTCTTCAAATAGGATTTTAAATATGTGCAGAAACCATCACTCATTCTCCTATTTCTGTTCTTTTTTGTTAAGATAAATTCTCACTCATTTTTTTTATATTCTGTTACAACACAGACAGTTCATCTTTGCCTTCGACACTCACTGATCTGATGACTTTTCTTTGTTGTCTAGTTTTCCATGTCATCATTTCCTTTTTTTAGTCTCTTTTTTTGCCTTCAAAGAGCTTAAAGAGCTCCCATCTGTTACCGCCACTCAAATAAAGGAGGAATACTATTTAAACAAAATTTTATATACACTATATTGCCAAAAGTATTTGCTCACCCATCCAAATTATTGGAATCAGGTGTTCCAATCACTTCCATGGCCACAGGTGTATAAATTCAAGCACCTAGGCATGCAGACTGTTTTTACAAACATTTGTGAAAGAATGGGTCGCTCTCAGGAGCTCAGTGAATTCCAGCGTGGAACTGTGATAGGATGCCACCTGTGCAACAAATCCAGTCGTGAAATTTCCTCGCTCCTAAATATTCCACAGTCAACTGTCAGCTGTATTATAAGAAAATGGAAGTGTTTGGGAACGACAGCAACTCAGCCACGAAGTGGTAGGCCACGTAAACTGACGGAGCGGGGTCAGCGGATGCTGACGCGCATAGTGCGAAGAGGTCGCCAACTTTCTGCAGAGTCAATCACTACAGACCTCCAAACTTCATGTGGCCTTCAGATTAGCTCAAGAACAGTGCGCAGAGAGCTTCATGGAATGGGTTTCCATGGTCGAGCAGCTGCATCCAAGCCATACATCACCAAGTGCAATGCAAAGCGTCGGATGCGGTGGTGTAAAGCACGCCGCCACTGGACTCTAGAGCAGTGGAGACGCGTTCTCTGGAGTGACGAATCGCGCTTCTCCATCTGGCAATCTGATGGACGGGTCTGGGTTTGGCGGTTGCCAGGAGAACGGTACTTGTCTGACTGCATTGTGCCAAGTGTAAAGTTTGGTGGAGGGGGGATTATGGTGTGGGGTTGTTTTTCAGGAGCTGGGCTTGGCCCCTTAGTTCCAGTGAAAGGAACTCTGAATGCTTCAGCATACCAAGACATTTTGGACAATTCCATGCTCCCAACTTTGTGGGAACAGTTTGGAGCTGGCCCCTTCCTCTTCCAACATGACTGTGCACCAGTGCACAAAGCAAGGTCCATAAAGACATGGATGACAGAGTCTGGTGTGGATGAACTTGACTGGCCTGCACAGAGTCCTGACCTCAACCCGATAGAACACCTTTGGGATGAATTAGAGCGGAGACTGAGAGCCAGGCCTTCTCGTCCAACATCAGTGTGCGACCTCACAAATGCGCTTCTGGAAGAATGGTCAAAAATTCCCATAAACACACTCCTAAACCTTGTGGACAGCCTTCCCAGAAGAGTTGAAGCTGTTCTAGCTGCAAAGGGTGGACCGACGTCATATTGAACCCTATGGATTAGGAACGGGATGTCACTTAAGCTCAGTCAAGGCAGGTGAGCAAATACTTTTGGCAATATAGTGTATATATATATATATATATATTTTTTTTTTATTTTTTTTTTCATATCATATGAAAATGAATTCATTCAACATTTTTTTTACATTCATTCCTGCCTGCTATGATTAGACGTCCTCATAGATTTATCTCCATGATGTTTTTTTTTCTTTTACAATATCGTTTCATTTCATATTTCATATCTCATACCCTGACCTTCATTCCCTATCATACCCATTTCTGGCTCCATCATGTTGCATTTATTACAGGTACATATGCATCATCTTGGATTTTCTGTGAAAGTTTCTGTAGTTTTGTTTTTAGTTGCTATCCATCTGCAGTATAAGCAAGAGTTTTGAAATCTTCATGCAGTATTTGTTGTTGCTTTACTTTGTGTACTTTGTTGGATTGAAGTGTGTAGTAGTATGACCAGCTTCTTTCTTTTTGATTCTGACGAAACAAAAGGTCAAAATAAGTCAACTTACATATGAAATAACCTCTAAAGCTTCACTGTTGGGGCCTATCCTCTGGCCAAGTCAAAATAGGGTTCTCACTCTTTGTATGACTTTGAAATGCCTTTGGCATTTTTAATGAGTCCCTGTGTATAGAAAAGTGTATGGCAACTTTTAAATGACTTGTCAGGGAGTGTTGAAACTTCGCTTTTAGGAATATGAATAGTTAAAACTAAAAAGATAGAAATCTGGGTTATCCTCATCTATTTCTTTTAGATAACCAGCAGTGTGCTTTTATGACATAACAGTATTCATGTCATTATGCCTACTATAGACTTAACAGGCAAATTATTATGAAGTTTCCTACAGTAAACTTGTGTGTATTTATGTTGCACAGATTTATAACAAATACATTCTAATGGCACTCTGACTAATGAAAACAACACATTTCTAGTTATTTCACAGAGTCGTTGACTTTGCAGCCCTTGGCATGAGCCTGCATGTAGAGACAAGAAGACACAACACATTTAACACACATTTAACTTCAATTAAATTTATATAGTGCCAATTCACAACACATGTCGTCTCAAGGCATTCAAAGTTTTCTATCTAAGGAAAACAAGTTGATGGCATCGACTCCTTGATTGCAGCAGCACAGCTGATATTTCTCTCCAGGATGGCGTCACAGACAAACAGGAACGGACGAGGCAAAGCTACTCCGAGGAAATACAGAGAGAGCATAATATCAGAGATTGAACTAACAGATTCTGCAGATTGCGAGAATAGAGACAGAATGAAGCATAATGATGAAAAAGGGTCCCTATGTCCTCCAGAAGTCTAAGCCTATAGCAGCATAACTATAGAGATAGCTCAGGATAACCTGAGCCCCTCTAACTATAAGCTTTATCAAAAAGGAAAGTTTTAAGCCTAGCCTTAAAAGTAGACAGGGTGTCTGCCTCACGGATTAAAACTGGTAGTTGGTTCCACAGGAGAGGAGCCTGATAACTAAAAGATCTGCCTCCTATTCTACTTTTAGAAATTCTAGAAACCACTAGTAAACCTGCAGATTGAGTTCTCTGTTAGGAACATAAGAAACAATCATGTCTCTGATATAAGATGGAGCTTGGCCATTTAAGGCTTTATATGTGAGAAGGAGGATTTTAAATACTATTCTGGATTTAACAGGAAGCCAATGAAGAGAAGCCAGGATAGGAGAGATGTGATCTCTCTTTTTAATTTTTATCAGAACTCTGGCTGCAGCATTTTGGATCAGCTGAAGGCTTTTAAGTACAGTTTGTGGACTTCCTGATAGTAAAGAATTACAATAGTCCAGCCTTGAAGTAACAAATGCATGGACTAGTTTCTCAGCATCACCCCTGGACAGGAGATTTCTAATTTTTGCAATATACCTCAAATGAAAGAAGGAAATTCTAGAAACCTCTTTGATATGGGATTTAAATGACAGGTCCTGATCAAAAACATCACCAAGATTTTTTACTTTATTATCTGAAATCGGTTTAATCCCATCCAAATGAAGTGACTGACTTAAGAGACAAATACACTGGGCTTAGTGTAGAAAAATATGGAGAAACAAAATAATGATGCCAGTAATTACTAAGAATGTTTACAATAGAGCACATGTGGTCAATCAGTGTGTCCAATATAAAGCATGTGATAGTTTGATTCAGTCCCAGTAAGGGGTAACAGAGTTTTGATGCAGTAATTTGCTGCAGCTAGATTACATGGGTGTTTTGTGCTTTGTTTTTACTAGAGGTGATTATCTTTCATGCAGACTAAAATGAAACAGCTGGAGCAGGAGGCCCACAAAGCAGCTGGGCAAATCTTCTTGGTTACCAGCAATGCTCAGCTACGAACAGTAAGTTAAAAATGGGCTTTAATTTGCAGGAGGATAACATTTGCTCCTGTATTCATTGGTGTAAGATTGTTTTATACATATGCTTAAAAAATCCTCATGAATTTTCTCTCTGCCATATGTTATACGTGTTTTTATTAGTAATGTTTATTTCTATTTGGAGAGAGTCTCAGTATCTAATGTTTGAAGGTGCTGTTTGAGAAGCTGTGTTTACATGAGCGTTGCAGAAACAAGAAGCTCCCCAAGACAATCAACAAACAACAGCAGTCAACATCGGAGGCTGCGGTACAGGAAACGCACACACAGCTCTGTCAGTTTCAACCTCAAGTCATCAATTATACATGAAACACAGCATATGCTGATTTATAAACACGCATATTCATACGCATAAACTCTGAAGGAGCAAAGATGTGTAATATTCAAACATCTTTTAAATATGTACATATCAAACAGAAATCGAAGATATAAAGTGAAAAGGGACAAGAAATAAAACTGAAAAAGTTCAGGGATTTAAACTTAAAAGTTAATTACTTTTAATATTGTTGTTTTAGTTGCTGCAGCTTCAGGACCTTCATCCTCTTCCAAAGATCATTCTGGAGTACAGACAGGTCAGCTATTACATTACAGTTCAAAGTAGTTTGGATTCTTTTAAATTAAATTTAAGCTCAAAGTAACATTTGAATTTTAAGAGGATCCACCTGACCGTTTTTCTTATTTATCATGTAGCTTAATTTAAGTTAGTGCAGAACATTTTTAGTAGCACAGATTTGGTCTTGTAAAGAAATTTTTATTTCCCGCAGGTTCACAAAATCAAGTCAACGTTTGTTGATGGGATTCTGTCATGCATGAAGAGCAAGGTGAGGCAGCCTCTGGTTTCATGTTACAAAACCATTTAGAAAATACAGAACTGTAAAAAGACATAACCACTTTATCTCTTTAAAAACATTTAAAGAGACATTAACAACATTTTATTTAAAAACATGTCTTTAACTGTTTGGACGTTTAAAACCATTTGTTTTACACACCCCAGACTTAATTCCTTGCTTTTGAAAGAAAACGTTTTTATTATTGTAATAAAGTGGTAAGTTATAGTATATTATAGTTATTAGTATATTTATAGTTGTTCTAAATTACTCCATTGAAGGATTCAAATAAAAAAATACTTTATTGATCCCAAAGTAGATTTAAATTTTGCTGTTTTTATTTATTTATTTTTTTTGTTTTTCATTGAGTAGTTGTGGGTATTGATACAGTAGCTGTAGACAGGAAGGGTACTGTTTGTACTGGTCTGTCTTGCGCCGGATCTGGAGAAGTCTCTGACTTAAAATACTTTGTTGTTTAAAAATCTTCTAAAGAGGAAGCTCACCGTTGTTCATGATCTTCAGTTTATAAAGAATTCTCCGTGAAGCAATCTACAGAGGTTCCAGAGGAGTTCCTAGAACAGAGCAGGCCTTCTTTAATAGCGTGTTGAGCTTTTTTAAGTAATTTGCTCTGATGCTTCAACCCCAGCAGATGATAGGGGAAGAGATCACACTCTCCACAACAGACTTATATAAGATATGTAGCATCTTGTTGCAAACACGGAAGGATCTAAGCTTCCCTAGGAAGTACACTCTGCTCTGCCCCTTCTTGTAGTCTGTTTCACAGTTACGTCTCCAGTCAAGTCTGTTGTCCAGGTGAACATCAAGAGTCACCACAAGTCGTGTTAAATGCACTGGAGAAATCAAAGAACACGATCCTCACAGTGCTGTTTGCCTTGTCTAATTGACAGTGAGTTTGTTGAAGCAGGTGTATAATGGCATTATCAACTCCAACTCCATGGCAATGTTCATTTTTTTTAGGTGAATTAAAAGACATTTCTCTACGACCTTAAGGGTGTGGGATGTCAGGGCAACAGGTCTATAGTCACAGAGGACTGTTGGCTGAGTCTTCTTTGGCACTGGAACAAGGCAGAGGTCTTTCACTTCATTGGAACTGTCTCTAGGGTCAGACTAAGATTGAACAAGTGCTGTTGAATCCCACAGAGCTGCTCTATGCAGACCTTCAGGTCTCTGGGGATGACACCATCAGGACCTGGTGACTTATTACATTTCAGTCAGATGAAAGGCAGAGGGAGCAGCACCATCTTCTGATTTGCCTGACAACAAACTCATGGAAGGAGAGTCAATGGCAGAGGAGGGCATGACGTTCATGTGACTGTGGGCAGGAGATAAATACGTGAACCTTGTTCCTGAACTGAATCTGTTGAAGAATGTATTCAGTTCATCAGCTCAGTCCAGATTGCCACCATTCTAATCATCCTTCTGCTTGAAGCCGGTGATCTACTTCATCCCTGACCACACATCTTTCATATTGTTCTGCTGGAGCTTGTTTTCCAGCCTTTTGCCGTATGCCTCCTTGCTTACTTTATCTTAACCTTAAGTTGCATTTGTAGACTTATTAATTCTCTGTCCCCTTTCTTAAAGGCTTGTGTTTTGTTGTCAAGCAGTTGCTTCAGTTCACTTGTGATCCAAGGCTTATTATTTGGAAAGCATTTCCCTGTTCTGGTAGGGATGGTGTTATCTACACCTCATTTGAATTTTCCTGTCTCTGTCTGCTTGTATGGTCAGAAACCCTGGCAGAAAGACGTTGGAGTCCAAGATATGATCCTGCAGCCACATTTCAGTAAAACACATAATGCTTTATTGCCAATATTCTGGCTGGGTTCTTGTTAGAGCTTGGAGTTTTATAAATTCTTTCCTAAAGATCTCACATTGCCCATGATGATTAATGCAAGAGATGGCTTTAATTTCTTGTTCCTTTCTTGTCTCCTTGCTTGTGCTCTGAATCCCTGGCTTCTCCTTTTCAAATCAGCTGGTACTTATGGAAGTATTTGATGTATTATTTCAGCATTAGAGATGTTAAAGAGTTGCTCCAGTGTGTAAAATAATCAACTTTCTGTGGTTACGCATCATAAAAAGTATCCAAAAGGGAACAAATATTAGTAAAGATCCTTTTGGTGTCACAGTTTTCAAGACCATAACCAAAAAACTACAGAAAAAAGAAGCTCCAATCCGCAAATGGAGAAACTAAAGTTCCAGAAAAATAAGAGTATCTCAGTCACGCTAGCAGAACTACTCCAACGGGCAGCCACCTTAAGCAGTGCAATTCAGTATCAATTCAGAAAGATACAACTAAACCATAAACTCAGTAAAGTAAGAGCAACATGTTAACCCATGAAGATATCACAAAAACAGTTAAAACAAACATAACACAACATTGAATTATAATATTATAAAAAAATAAGATATAATAGCCTGTTGGTGTCTAAACTTCTAGACAAAAAGCCTTTAGACTTGAAGTGCCTCTTTTATGGATGAATAAATTCCAGCATAATTTAGGAGCAACAACTAAGAAATTGAGTTAGCTTTACGTTTCTGTTTGGACCAAGAACCTAATGAAAGCAATTTGTCGTTTCATCTTAATGTTTATGTTAAGGCGAAATGTGTTAAAAGAATTGTAAAATAGGCTACTTTCAGAAAGAAGTTTAAAATCCTATAATCAATTCTTTAATGAAATGGAGTGAGGTCAACACAGGTACAGTCATTAAAAAAGTTTGGGCAACCCTGTTAATTTTAGATCCTGTTGTTTTGCAAAAGGAGAATCTACTAAATATTGTCTCTTTTTTGCTGAGGTGCCCATATTTTTGCACCTGCCAAATTGTGTTTTAATAAGTACTGCACGTTTTCTGTTAGTCCAATATACCCTAAATTCAATACTGAAATATTACTGTCCATCAGTTATTAGATATATCAAATTGAAACAGCTGTTGCAAACACCCAAATATTTGGAAATAAAAATAATTAAGAGTAATAGGGGTGCCCAAACTTTTTCATATGGCTGTATATATGCCCCTATTTTCCAGTTCTTCTGAGCAGACAAGTAGCAGTACATGCAGCCATTACATTTGAAAGACAATAACCTATACGTATTGAAATAAAAACATTAAGTTATTTATGGAAACAAAGTTTTAATTCAACTAAAAGTTAAAACTGAAACAAACTAAACTTCACAACCTATTTAATTTCAATAAATGTAAATAAGGCTGTAAGAATACAAATACCCACTGGAAAACACCCATGCTATAAAATGAGAGTCTTAATAATGCCATAACTATGGTTTGCATATCAAATACAATGACTTACTTTTTGTTATAAATTAGCTAAACAGTATTAAAGTTTGTCAATGCATTATAATCATAAAGGCCCAGGAGAACTGTCTTTTTTTTTTTATCTTAATGCACAATTACTTTTGCGTAATATTGCCAAATAGTGAAAAGCATGAAAAGCAATATTTTATTCTTAAAAGTAGACCAATAAGACACATATATAATGGAAAAGAATCAGGCACTAGGGCAGAGCTCTGAGGAACTCCAAACATAAGTTTTGCAACTGCTAAAAAAACACACTATTAGTTATATTAGACAAACTTGATTAGATCAGCTTATTAAATAATCAGTGTTCCTGATGAAAACAGTTTTCTGTTTTGTATGGTGCCAAAGCAGCACCTACTGTATGTCTAAAACGACCAGCATCAATGATTTCATGGAGTCCTCAGTTAATCTAAAATAATAGCAGTTTAAGCATGACTTAATCCTTTATACAAAAGCCCTTTATAAAAAATAAGTTAGAAAAATTGAGGAATATCCTGTAATACATCACATTTAAGGTTAGTTTGGACAGATCCTAAATAACGATTTTGTTTCAAATAAAAGAATATGAATAAATGATATCTAAAACCAACTTAAATAAACCTGATTAGTGACAATTTGTCAGCCGCGGATGTTCCTCATAGTTTGGCTCTTCTGTAACAGCAAAATAATGAAAAGCCATGTCTGAGATAGTTTTCTGAAGCTGTCACTCTCTTTCTGCCAGCTTTGTATTGATTTGTTAGTGAAGTTCTTGGTCTGACTGTCTCTTCACATGGGCCTCAATCAGACCTCCCATATGGAAGCAGCAGCTTTTGTTTGTCAAATGTGTTGTCGGCTCTTCAAAGTCTGTCTGCTTGGCTGATGGTGAAAGTGATTCGTTTGGTCGTCTATTAGCCAGTCCAGACTCCAATCCCAAACATAAAAAAAGGAATATTACATCCTATTAATTTACAGCAGTGGCTAATCTAAACTGGAATAAATTAAAGGGAAGCTTCAAACAAGCCAAACTACTGAAATATACCAAAATGTGTGGAACTAGTCTGATGATTAACTAGATAAACCATTATCAATTATTAACAATTATTATTTTGTCACTGTTAAATGTTAGTTGCATCAGTTAACATCACACTTAATTATTATCTTTCTATATGTTTCTTCTTTATTTAATTGGATTCAGAATTAACAGATGGTTCAAAGTGGGCATGGTATGGCTTATGGCTGTTAACAAGTGTTATTAATAATAATCCACAAACCGATGGTGGCTTCATGTAAAACAACTGTTCTTATGTATTTAAATAGAGATGAATCGGCTAAAGAGACCTTACAGATCACATGTCCTGTTCAAATACCTTGAATATGTGATGACTTTTTGATTTTGTAGGTGACATTTTATCTTCCTTTGATTTTTTTTTTCTGGATTTGAAAACCACCAGAACTACATTTCTTCTACATGGTGCCAGACGAGTGCTGTGACTGGGAGAATCTCGGCCAAACATCCCGTAAGTTTAACCAACATGGCATTTCTTTGCATTCCCTTCTGTCTGCTTGTCTGAATAGAGCTGTCCATGGTGCTGAAACTTGGTCAGCTCTAGATTACGTTTCCTCTTGCAGTCTAACCTTCTTCTACGACATGAGAAAGTTGTCAGTATTTATGACCATTTATAAACATACTTTCTTTTGTGAGCATGTTAAAGTATGTAAATAGTTCAATCGATAACTTTAAACATCTTAACAGACAATTGTGATATCCCCACTGTATGCAATAACTAATTTCTAAAAGTTATGTTTATGATACATGGTGTATTAGACAGCATTGGAATAATAAGTATCTCTCTGTGTGTTCAGAAAGGGAAAAATTCATGTTGCATTAAAATAATTTTTAAGGATTGGTATTGGTACACTGCTAAGAAAAATAAATCATTGTCATTCCTTGGGGAAAAAACACAGATATGCACATATTTTAACGAAACTTCAGTCTTAAATTTTTTTGAAAACATTGTCAGCATTGGTGACTTTCCTTTTACCTTACCTACTCTCTCCACCCTCCTGGAATAAACTAGAAACTTCCATACAAAGCCCTCCAGAGATATCAGTAATTCATAAAAAGATGTGTAGAAAGCCTGAAAATAAATCCCCTTCTTTGTGTGGCAGAACCATAGCACAGAAAAATTATGCATTGAATACTTTAAGTTAAACTTTTCCTGTTCTATTTTAACTTCAGCAGGCTCTCTGGGAACTTCTAATTACCTAAACGAAACATGTTTTTCCCTTTCACTATTAAATGCATTTCTACAAGGTAATTAAAACATCTTTGCCATTCTACATTTCAAACCACTCTTATGGATTGTTTCTGCACAAAAACCCTAGCACTAATATTAAAAAATAAAGGGTTTATATCCCTTTCAAATGACCCTTTAAACATACTTAGATTAACTAACACACACAAAAACATTAGGGAAAAAATAACCCAATTTTAAATAGAACTTTGAAAAAGCTTCATACGGCCTAGAAAATGGTTAGCGAAAGTCCAGCCTCTTAAATGCAACAAAGAAAGAGAAGTAGACGTTCGATTTTTTTTTTTTTGCGCGATTACTAAACATCAACAGACTCGCTCACATTTGCTACTTCTTTTCTTCTTCTACTATAAAGCCCTACCACTCCTACCTGGTATGTGTCAATCGATTTGCTCATTTTTAACTTCCCCCAGCTGTCAGGATCCATGAACTGCTTCACTCTCTATTGTACTGATCATCTGAATAAAACACTCATCAATCCCTGTGAAGCCACCAGACTTTTCTTATCTCGCTTCGTGATATGTGAGTGATATAAGGTATGCATTGAATTGATTGTGCTGCTGCCAAATGATTGATGTGATTGTTGGTCAGCACAGTTCTGATTCCACCGCTCAGACACAGGTATGGGAATTGATTGATCAACACATTAAGGTGGTTTGCTTCAGTGCTTGTTTGCAGTCATTTATGTGCAGCTTTATTGATATGATCTAACCAGTTTGATCGTGGGTGGGCTTAGAGCACTTAAAAAAGAACAACATTGAAGCATTTATCAGTTTGTCTTATGATCTTATGATGGATACATTTAACAGTCAAATAAAAAAGTCAGTAAAAGAAGAATTAAGAACAAAAGAAAGAAAAAGGAAAGCCAGCTCTGTGATTAGATGCCCTCTGGACTCAGTGCAGGGGGTGGGGACCAAAGGGGCCCTAACTAAAATAACATCTCTGCTGGATAATGTCTCCCACCCGATGCATAAAGCTGTTGCCGAACTGGAAAGCTCCTTCAGTGACAAACTGCTGCACCCTGAATGTACCAAATCTGCACATCTCTGGTGTTGCTGCTATTTTCAAATATCCAATACTGTAAAAATGTCCACAGCTGTTGATATTTATGGGTTTTATATTTTATGTTCTTTGACAATCATACAAGTTTTGTATCACAGATGAAGTACTCTTTTTATATAAGTTTGTATCGAAGCAGGAACATGTTTTTTTACACTGTGTCCATGAGCTTTGGGGAACAGATACTGGGCATAATGAGCTCTGGGGAGGGTCAGTAGCTCTGGGGATGTAACACAGATGAAGCAGTGATTGGTACCAGGTACTGGGCATGATGTAACTTGTTTTTGTATCTGATCATTATGTAATTTTGTTTTTGGTTTCGGCTGTCCATGAGCCCTGGGTGGTTTCGGGGCATGCCGGTTCCATATTTTGGTTTCTGTAATCATGCGCTCCAGGCGTAAGAGGGAGCGGTCACTTTTCCTGATTGTGTGAAAGATTTTACTTTGAAGTGTGGCATAAATGGCGGGGGCTTGTTGACACCGGCGGGGTATGCTAGGGTTGCGTACGGACGCCTAGCTGCACGGGTTGCTGCCCTGCCAGGATCAACCGGCCCTCCGATCCTTGTGTCACAGTAGGGGGACAATATAAATTGTATTGAGACAATAAAATTTGTATTCAGCACCGTGCCTTGATTGATCTGCTTGCTTTGCTGTTTTCTGTGGCGGAATAAAAACGACAAATTTTAATTCTAGCAGAAACAGTTTGTGTGTTCATCTTTATCGCCGACTCATCCCGATCCTGCCTAAATTTCATAATACAGCTGTATAGTGGTAATTTATTATTTCCAGATTCACAGTATTTATATTGTAAAAACACTGTATAGTACAGTATTTTAGTTGTTTATTTTATTAACTATGTCACTTATTATGTTTTTTTATACACTTTTTAAGCCCCACAATTTGTGACCACTTTTGCTATAATCTTGTGCTGCTGTAACACCACAATTTTCCAATTGTGGGACAATAAAGGCATTTTCTATTCTATTCTATTCTAAAATGAGCACATAGCAGCTGATGACACTAATGGTCTTAAACCTCATGGGAGAGTTATGTATTGTGAAAATGTCTCATAATCACCCAAATAAGGTGTTAGAAGTCAGAAAAACTGATCTCTGACAGCAGTAGCTTGTAGACATTAAAGCATAGCTCATTATGGGATGTTCTGTCTCCATGTCATGCTCAGCATTGCAGTGCATGCACAGTAAAATATTCAATTTAAAATAACTAAAATTCTTGCAACACTTAGGTACATGTATTTTCTGCTTCGGTTATAACCAGCATTCGTACTCTGATGCTCTTGACTTTGCACCATTATTCCCATTTCTCCTAGCTAGCATATCACCAGTGTAGCCTACTTTATTCCTGGACTATAATGTGAATAAAAGCGCCTAAAAGTTTCACTTTCCTACACATAGCTCTTACAGTACAGCAGGTATTCCATTTTAGCCAGGGACAGAAGTGTTTATTAAACTGGAGTCAGGAAGTCTTAGTTTGATTGGATGAGGAGGATAATTAAATAAATTGTGTTTTGGGATGCTAAAGGCAAGCCTTATCTTTCAAATCACAATAAACATGTCTGCAGTAAGATATACATCTATTTTACCTTCATTAAATTAAGCAGATAATTGTTGTGAAGAGCTACATAGTAGTGAATAAACATGCAGCTGCTTTTATGCATAGTTCAATTAGACACTCAGAAATGAAAAACACTTCATTTGGAGATTTCAACAAGAAAAGATATTGAAATGAGGAGTGTTGAAGAGGGATCGGACTTTGAAGTATCATGAGTACAGCTGAGGTAATGCCAGTCTTTAGTAACAATGGGATGCTGGAATAAAAGCAGGGATAAAAGTATCACCATGAGAAATCAGTTGTGTTGGAGAGAGAAGTAGGTCTATGCGGTGCTAGCTCGTTTTTTGATCTATGAAAAGGCAAAATGGCATTAAATGTCTGTGATCCCCACTGGTGATATCTGTTGTTGATACTCCTTTTTTGTTTCCTTTACATGTTTTTCTCTGCCTGCTGTTATTTTTTATTTTTTCAATTATTTCTCAGTTAAAATCTTTCTTTATTTTCTACTAGCTGTATGATCTGTTTAGGTTTCCTGTCCTGCTCTTTCCTCTGCATAGCCATTCTTTAAAGCCAAATGAAGAACACTTGACTCCTGATAACTCAATAACCTGCTCATTTTCTGTCACAAACTTAACAATGTTTTCCTTCCTTAGGCTGTGAAGTCAGATTCCACTGTGTTTCACTTCTGTTCTCCTTTTTTCACTTTCCTCTGACAGTTTTTCACATTTCTGTCACCCACACAAGTGTTAGATTCACTGTTTGGTTTATGGAGATGATGAATTAATGTTCTGTTTCCTTTCTGTATGTCATAGCATAGTTGGTGCTGTAGTATAAAGAAAGGAGATCTGTGACTTTTTCTTTTTTCCCCATTTATTTTACGCTACACTCAGAAACAAATATTTCTGTAAGTTTTTAGGGTTCTAGTAATTTTTTATCTTACTTTAAAATATTCCAAATTAATGGAAAATGTTTTGTCCAGCAATATTCTGCTGCCAAAGCTGTTAGCTGAAGCAAGCCATTGTGAGAAAACATTTTATACACTTACAGTATTTGACCTAATTTTGTATTCGCACACTGTTTATTATATCCTGGCATTGATTTGCTCATGTATAATCCTGGATCAGTTTAATAGTTATCCACTGTGTAATACGGCATGTACCTTATTCATTTACATCAGTATTTTCAGGAGTAGGCATGCACTGACATGAACATTTGGGCCGTTTTGATATTGATAATGCTCTTATGACAGATAACTTATATTTAGCTGGATATACTGTGTATAATTTTCTATTTGGCAACAGATAAAAATAACTTTCAAGGTGCTTTCATTGCTTCCCTACTTTAAATAAACACACAAGCATGTGCTGCATCTTTACAAGAGTAACATGACCAAACAAACACCACATGATCAACCTCCTCCCCCTTCTGAAACACAAACAGCGATAAGATGGAAACAACAGCACTTGTTAATATCGACTGGTATTCAATTCAGTTTAGCTATATAGCACCAATTCACAACACATGTCATCTCAAGGCACTTTACAGATCTCCAGCTCATACAGTCAAATTGATTCA